ACTGGCAAGCCACCCAAGGAGGATTTCACCTTCCTCGGAGGCTTTTGAGCACAGATTCCTCACACGGTTGCAAAGCTGCATGATTTATTTAACGTTTTGAATTCCGCCGTGCCAGCCCCCAAATCAATACCTGGACTAGCGGAGGAGGCTGGATCAATCTGACCTCTGCAGTTGCAGTGGCTTCGAATCCGGCTCCCGAATTCAGTCCTTGGAAGGGCTGCCAGAGGCTTTGGGGAGAGCAAAGCTCCAGCAACGGGGTTTCCTGGGTGAAAACGTCCTTGCGCCCCGCGTTACTTCCTAAGAGGAAGGTTTTGTGGCACAGCTTTTAGTAACAGTTTTGCAGAGGGTGAGGTAGTAGTAGTAGTAGTAGTTGTTGTAGTAGTCATAGTAATAATAATATTAATTATTATTATTAATAATAATAATAATAATTCGCTATTAGTTAATTGCAAAAGGCGGCCTTAGTAGGAACTGCTTTCATCCTGCGACGATATGTGTAATAACATCAAATATCCACATCTGCCTATCCCAGGTCCTGGGTAAGGACTCGATAGATAGACAAAATGCCAAATCCAGTCTGAACATCTGACTGTGCAATGATCCATAATAATAATAATAATAATAATAATAATAATAATAATAATAATAAGCTGAAGAAACAGTGGACCACTTGGTAAGCTGTTGCAAGAAGATTGCACAGACTGATTACAAGCAGCGACATGACAAAGTAGCAACAATGGTGCATTGGAAGATCTGCAAAAAATATCATTTGCCTGTAAGCAAAAACTGGTGGGATCATAAAATAGAGAAAGTCATAGAAAATGATAAAATTAAACTGCTCTGGGACTTCAGAATTCAAACAGACAAGCACCTGCAACATAACACCCCAGACTTAACAATTGTTGATAAGAAAGACAAAAAAGTCTGGATAGTGGACGTGGCAGTGCCTGGAGATAGCAGAATAGAAGAGAAAGAACTGGAGAAGATAACAAAATACAAAGACCTACAAATAGAAATAGAAAGACTGTGGCAAAAGCAAGCAAGGGTAGTACCAATAGTCATAGGCTCCTTGGGTGCAATCCCAAAACAACTGGAGCACCACTTGAACACCATTGGCATTGACAAATTCGCTATTAGTCAATTGCAAAAGGCGGCCTTATTAGGAACTGCTTCCATCCTGCGACGATACCTGTAATACCATCAAACATCCACATCTGCCTATCCCAGGTCCTGGGTAAGGACTCGATAGGTAGACAAAATGCCAAATCCAGTCTGAACATCTGGCTGACTGTGCGATGATCCATATATAATAATAATAATAATAAAAGTTGGAAGGGACCTTGGAGTCATCTAGTCCAACCCCCTGCTCAGGCAGGAAACCCTATACCATTTCAGACAAATGGCTGTCCAGTCTCTTCTTAAAAACTTCCAGTGTTGGAGCATTCACCGCTTCTGGAGGCAGGTTGTTCCACTGGTTAATTGTTCTAACTGTCAGGAAGTTTCTCCTTAGTTCTAAGTTGCTTCTCTCCTTGATCAGTTTCCATCCGTTGCTTCTTGTCCTGCCTTCAGGTGCTTTGGAAAATAGCTTGACTCCCTCTTCTTTAGGGCAGCCCCTGAGATATTGGAACACTGCTATCGTGTCCCCCCTCGTCCTTCTCTTCGTTAAACTAGACATACCCAATTCCTGCAATTGTTCTTTATAAGTTTTGGTCTGCAGTCCCTCTTTTTTGCTCTTTTCTGCACCCTTTCTGGAGCGTTAACATCTTTTTTATATTGTGGAGATCAAAACTGGATGCAGAATTGCAAGTGTGGCCCTTACTAAGGTTTTATAAAGGGGTACTTATTAAATTCTAAAAGGAAGCCCCGTGCTTTGCTCACTCCAAGTCCACCCAATAGGAAGCGGTTGGATCCATCTTCCTGTCCTTTGTAACAACAATGCAGGAGATTATTGGCACTTAATTACCAGTTTCATGAAACCAGTTGGAGGCCATTTCACGTCCCCAGGCAGCCAGTGTTTGGAAAACATCTGCTAAAAAGCCGATGGCTGCTGCATTGTGGGCCATTTCTCTTCCTTTGGCATCTGCATTGAAATGGGATATTGCTCAGTTGCAGAAAAAGCCAACCTCTGGAGGGAGGCCCAGAGCAAATCTCAAAATGGCAATAAATAAATAAAATCACTATCTTTCCCCAAACAACGGTTCTTTTTTTTAAAAAAAAAAAAAGATCTGCAGGTGTGTGAAACTTCGCAAACGTGCTCACAACCATCAGTATATTTGAAGGGTCAGGAGGAGAAAGGGGGGGGGGAGAAAAAAGGAGAGAATTATTACTGCTGATGTCCCCCCCTCCCAAAAGAAAAGCATCCTGGGAGATCCACAGCTTGCTGCTTCTGTTCTGGTTCCTTTTGCTGACACACAAGTTTCATTGGCTGTGATAGAAGTAAAGTCTTCATCCTGGTTCATCCAAGCCGGGAATAAATAAGCAAACATGGCGACTGCTTTGGGAAGAAGGTTACAGTTTATTGCAGAAAGATGGTTCTTAAAGAAAGATCAGAAGAGAGAAAGGGCTGAGCACATGGGGCAGTAGGCTTTTATACCCCCTCTAGCCTTGTTTGGAATAGTTTCCTGTTCCTGTGGCATGAACCTTGAGGCTGTTTCTGAGTGTTTGTCTAGGCCTTGATATCTGTGGTTTAATTCTATTATCATATCCTGCTTCCCAGGTGATGGGGCTAATGACGCCTAGAGTTTGGGGGGGGGGGTATGCAGATCTTCTCTTTTGTCTTCTTGATTGCTCTGGCTTCAACTTTCTGATGGTTTTACATTTGCCTAGCTCTTGCTTGGGGCAGAGAGATAGATTTGGGGCCAGGTTTGGTTTTAAAAAGTCCTTTTGAGGAAAAATATATTTTTCTGCCCTTTTTAATATTTCTTCTCTGGGCTAACTTTCATCAGCTGCTTGGAAGAAAGGAGAAGGGGAGAGAAAAAAACCTGGAGCAATGATGGAGAGGAGACCCTCTTGCTAAAATCTGCAGGCTACCCTTGAAGAGCGTTCGGAGGCTGCAGTTGGTTCAGAATGCAGCCGCGAGAGCGATTGTGGGTGCACCAAGGTACGCCCACGTGTCACCTATCCTCCGCGAGCTGCACTGGCTTCCTGTGGGTCTCCGGACGCAATTCAAGGTGTTGGTTATCACTTTAAAGCCCTTCATGGCATAGGGCCAGGTTACTTACAGGACCGCATACTGCCGCATAGTTCCCAGAGACCGGTGAGGTCCCACAGACTGGGCCTCCTTCGGGTCCCGTCGGCCAAACAATGTCGGCTGGCGGGCCCTCGGGGAAGGGCCTTTTCTGTGGTGGCTCCGACGTGGTGGAATCAACTTCCCCCCCCCCGAGATTCGAACTACTCCCACCTTGCCGGCCTTCAAGAAAGCCATTAAAACTCTCCTCTTCCGGCAGGCCTGGGGCTGATGTCCCGGGGGGGAGGGGCGGGATTCGATTGGGACACGCTGTGTGAATGTATTCATTTTTAATTGCTATATTTGTTATTTTAATTTTGTACGCCGCCCTGAGTCCCTAGGGATTGGGCGGCATATAAATTTTATTAATAAATAAATAATAAATAAATAAATAAGGGTGGGGGAGTCCTACCTGGAAGCTGCTCAGCTGCTGTAGCCCCCCCTGTCCAGGACTGGAGAGGGGTGAGGAAATGGCTGCTTCCATTCCCATTTGGGTCCCTGGGGGAGCGATCCGGGATCTGGGAGACCGTTGGGATGGCCTTCAAGAGGAGAGGGAGGGCTGGGGTCTCCCCTCCAGGCTGCACATGGCGAAGGACCTCAAAGGCCGTGTGAACCCTGGGGCACGGAGGAAGAAAGACGGGGCCTTCCTCGGCGCAGTCGCGTCCCCACCTCTCTCCAAAGGAGGTGGACCTCAGCCCCCCAGACCCGCCAGCCCAAGATGACCTCAACCCAGAGACCCTCCTGAGACCCTCTCTGGAGCTGAGGCTGGGGCCCCGAGGCGGGAGGTGGCGTGTAACCTACTGGCGTTTGCTTCTTGATTAGGGCGGGTCTCTTAAGACAGGAGAATCCTCTGGGCTCAAGGTCAAACTGCTGGGTCCCTGTGCTCTCCGAGCTGGGGGGGGGGGTTTCTTGCAGACATTTCAGGACCCAGCTAGGTAACATCATCAGTGCTACAAGGGAGAAAGGTTTGCGGAGAGGAAGAGGAGGGAGGGGAGAAGGAAGAGGAGGTGGACTGTGGGGACCCTGGTGCTCTCTGAGCTTGGCCGTTTTCTTGCAGACATCTCATTACACAACTAGGTAATATCATCAGTGCTAGAAGGGAATAGGGTCTGATGAGAAGAGGAGGAGGAGGACTGTGGGGCCCCTGGTGCTCTCTGAGTTTAGTGGTTTTCTTTCAAATAATAGTAGTGGTAGTAATAATAACAACAACAATAGTAACAATAAAGTTGGAAGGGACCTTGGAGATCATCTAGTCCAACCCCCTGCTCAAGCAGGAGACTCTATGCCGTTTCAGACAAATGGCTGTCCAGTCTCTTCTTAAAAACTTCCAGTATTGGAGCATTCACCGCTTCTGGAGGCAAGTTGTTCCACTGGTTAATTGTTCTGACTGACAGGAAGTTTCTCCTTAGTTCTAGGTTGCTTCTCTCCTTGATGAGTTTCCATCCGTTGCTTCTTGTCCTGCCTTCAGGCGCTTTGGAAAATAGCTTGATTCCCTCTTCTTTGGGGCAGCCCCTGAGATACTGGAAGGCTGCTATCTGTCCCCCCTCGTCCTTCTCTTCGTTAAACTGGACATCCCCAATTCCAGCAGCCCTTCCTTATATGCTTTAGCCTCCAATCCCCTAATCCTCTTTGTTGCTCTTCTCTGCCCTCTTTCTAGAGTCTCAGCATCTTTTTTACATGTTTCATCACCCAGCTAGGTAACATCATCAGTGCTAGAAGGGAGGGTAGTTTGTGGGGAGAAGGAGGAGGAGAAGGGAGGGGGAGGAGGAGGAAGAGCTGTGGGGTCTTGGTACTTTATGAGCTTGGTGGTTTTTTTGCAGATGTTTCATGACCCATCTGGCATTGATGAGGTTACCTGAATGAAACACAATGAAATGTCTGCCAGCAAACAGCCCAGCTCAGAGAGCATAAGGACCCTACAGGGTCTCTGGGTTTTTCCTCTATGGGGTCTGAAGCCCCCCCTAAAAGGAAGGGGAGGGAGACTTATGCAACACACCCCCTTCCTGACTCAACCGGCTGGTGGTGGTTATGCAATCGGCAACTTCTTCCTTCCAATCCGCCAGAGCGGTACCCAAGCCCGCCCCCGGTCTCCATGGTTACCAGCATCCCCCCCCTTCCTCTTCCCCTCCGTTTTCTTTTAACGGTCTCCTGCCGTTCAGGAAGGTTCATTCTATTCTCCACTGGGTTCAGAAGGTGCCCCTGACGGGAGAGGGGCTTGGCAGAGGCAGAGGCGATGGGCGGCCATGTTGCTGGCTCTGAATTCTCTCCCATGGCAGCTCCCACGAAATCCCACCCAGCCTGGCACCAGTTGGGTGGATTGAAGGTTAGACTGGCAGCTGGTTTGAAGATAATAGAATAGAATGGAATGGAATGGAATGTGGAATGTGGAATACCATAGAAAATATGGAATGGAATGGAATAGGATAGGATAGGGTAGAGTAGAGTACAGTAGAGTAGAGTAGAATAGAACTGTATAGAAAATATGGAATGGAATGGAATAGAATATAGAATACAATAGAACAGAATAGAATAGAAAATATGGAATAGAAGAATAGAATAGAATGGAAGGGAAGGGAAGGGAATGGAGTAGGGTAGGGTAGGGTAGGGTAGAATAGAATAGAATAGAATAGAATAGAATAGAATAGAATAGAATAGAAAATATGGAATGGAATGGAATGGAATATAGAATACAATAGAACAGAATAAAATATAAAATATGGAATGGAATGGAATGGAATAATAGAATGGAATGGAATGTGGAATACCATAGAAAATATGGAATGGAATGGAATAGGATAGGGTAAAGTAGAGTAGAGTAGAGTAGAATAGAACAATATAGAAAATATGGAATGGAATAGAATGGAATGGAATAGAATATAGAATACATTCGAACAGAATAGAATAGAAAATATGGAATGGAATAGAATAGAATAGAATAATAATAGAATGGAATAGAATAGAATAGAATAGAATAGAAAATATGGAATGGAATAGAATAGAATAGAATAATAATGGAATGGAATAGAATAGAATAGAATAGAAAATATGGAATGGAATAGAATAGAATAGAATAATAATAGAATGGAATAGAATAGAATAATAATAGAATGGAATAGAATAGAATAGAATAGAATAGAATAGAATAGAATAATAATGGAATGGAATAGAATAGAATAGAATAGAATAGAATAGAATAGAATAGAAAATATGGAATGGAATAGAATAGAATAGAATAATAATGGAATGGAATAGAATAGAATAGAATAATAATGGAATGGAATAGAATAGAATAGAATAGAATAGAATAGAACAGAACAGAATAGAATAGAATAACAAAATAATAATGGAATGGAATGGAATGGAATAATAACCGAAGTCCATTCAGATGGCCCTGTTAGCTGGGTGATGGGTCTGAGTGTCATTATCCAAAGAAAAACCTTGTTATCCTATGTTGGATCGTTCCCTCGGGCTTGGCAAGTCCTGGGTCAACCTCTCTTAGTTTTCTCTCCTTGGCCTGACTGCAGAGGGGAATGGGGGGGGGGACTTAAGGGCCCCCTGTGTTCTGTTTCTTGCAAAGAGGATTTTTCTGACCTCTCTTGGTGAATGCAGGAGGCCGAGTCTCCCTTCCCTTTGCTGCTGCTCCCTCCTGCAGGCACCAGTTAGGTTAACTGGGTTAACTGCTAATTGAATCAGGAGGCTTCCAGGATGGCTGGAGGCAGCCCTGGGGGCTTGGGCAGTTGGCCAAAGAGAGCTCCTGCCAGCTGCCCTCTGAATGCCCCTCAATGCACCGCAGGCAGCCTCTCCTGGACGAGGCTTCTTCCCGTCGCAAGGAGTGTGTGGGAGGGGGCAAGTTCAGAAGACCCCATCCCAGAAGCAAAGCAAAGCAAAATGAGCAACTAAGATGATCCAAGGCCTGGAGATTAAAACATACGAAGAACGGCTGGGGGACTTGGGTCTGGCCAGTCTAAAGAAAAGAAGAAATAGGGGAGACGTGATAGCAGTCTTCCAGTATTTGGGGGGCTGCCACAAGGCAGAGGGGGCCAGGTTATTCTCCAAAGCACCAGAGGGCAAGACGAGAAACAAAGGTTGGAAACTGATCAAGGAGAGAAGCAACCTGGAATTAAGGAAAAACTTCCTGACAGGGAGGACAATTAACCAGGGGAACAGCTGGCCACCAGAAATCGTGAGCGCTCCATCACTGGAGGTTTTTAAGAAGAGGCTGCACAGTCACTTGTCTGAGATGGTATATAGGTTCTCCTGCTTGAGCGGGGGGCTGGACTAGAAGACCTCCAAGGTCCCTTCCAGCTCTATTCTATTCTAAAACAAGAAGGTTGCATGTCTTCTGGAGGCTCTCATCCCCCCCAGGCAATGATTGTCCCAAAGGAGTTTTTATTTTGAAAGCAGCTGGACTTGTTGACTTTTCCTTCAGACCTTTCGCTTCTCATCCAGGAAGCTTCTTCAGTTCAGACTAGTCCACTTCAGATTACATGGCCTTATTTAATGGCTGAGATGTTAGTTTTCGAGGTTAGGGGTGAAAATGGGAACCAACTGTAGATAATCTCTTGTCTGAAATGGTGTAGGTTCTCCTGCTTGAGCACGGGGCTGGACTAGAAGATCTCCAAGGTCCCTTCCAGCTCTATTCTGTTCTGTTCTATTCTATTCTATTCTATATTATTTCTATTTTTATTTCTATTCTATTCTGCTCTGTTCTGCTCTATTCTATTCTATTCTGCTCTATTCTATTCTTTTTCTATTTCTATTTCTAGTCTAGTCTGTATTCTATTCTATTCTCTATTCTATTCTAATTTTCAATTCCTTATTTTCTATTCTGTTCTGTTGTGTTCTGTTCTATTCTATTATTCTATTCTATTCATTTCTATTCCTATTCTATTCTATATTATTTCTATTTTTATTTCTATTCTATTCTGCTCTGTTCTGCTCTATTCTATTCTGCTCTATTCTATTCTTTTTCTATTTCTATTTCTAGTCTAGAATTGTCTAGTCTAGTCTTGTCTGTATTCTATTCTATTCTATTCTCTATTCTATTCTAATTTTCAATTCCTTATTTTCTATTCTATTCTATTATTCTATTCTATTCTATTCGTATTCCTATTCTATTCTATTCTAATTTCTGGGTGAGCCTCAATCCACTGGCAAAGGTGTTCTGGATCCAGGTTGTCTTAAACGAAAGCCACCTTCCATGATTTAAGTAGGAGAACCAGGAGTGGATTTAAGGGAAAGATCCGGAGATCCATCCAGCTCTGTGGACCAGTTCTAGGGCTGCGGATGTCCTTGGGGGGGGGGGCTTAAACTCTGTGCTGATGACTCCCCCTCTGATGGCCCAGCCTGGATGGATGCCCACCTGTGTCACCAGGTGGGCATTGTGACAGTAGGTGTGCCCCCCCCAGAAAGAGAGAGACACACACACCCCACCTGAAACAGTGTAGTGAAACTTTGCCTTGGAATCTGCGGGACACAGAAAGCGTCAGTTGCAAAGGGGCAAGAAGTAGGTGGCTGAGCAGGGGAGGGGGTCCAGGCCCACCCAGCAGCCCTGCCTCTTCTCCGCCCACCCCATTCACAATTCACTCAGGCCACTATCTCAGATTTTTTTAGATGAAAACAAGGAGCAGCAGAGAGAGAGAGAAAGAGAGAAAGAAAGAAAAAGTCACAAAGAGACAGAATGGAGGGAGAGAGAGAAAAGAAGAGAAAGAATCAGAAGGAGGGAAAGAATCAGAATAATAGAGTTGGAAGGGACTTTGTAGGTCATCTAGTGATTCTAGTCCAACCCCTGCCCAAGCAGCAGACCTTACGCCAGGTCTTCAAACGTCTTGGATACTTGTGGACTTCAACTCCCAGAATTCCTCAGCCAGGCACGTGTGTGGCTGAGGAATTCTGGGAGTTGAAGTCCACAAGTCATCCAAGGGCCACGTTTGAAAGCCCAGCATTTCTGACAGATGGCAGTCTAGCCTATTCTTGAAAGCCTTCAGTGATGGAGCTCCCACAACTTCTGGTGGCAACTTCTCTTGTTCTCAGTGTCAGGAAATTTCTCCTTATTTCTAGGTTGAATCTCTCCTTGGGGAGAGAAAGAGAAAGGAAAAGAAGGAAACAGAGAGAGAGAGAGAGAGAGAGAAGGAAAGAATGGGGGGGAGAGAGAAAGAAATGAAAATCAACGAGTGAGTGAGAAAGAGAGAGAGAACAGAAAGAGAGAAAAAAAGAGACAGAAAGAAAAAGAGAATGGAGAGAGAGACAGAGAACGGAAAGAGAGAAAAAGAGAGTAAGAGAGAAAAAGAGAGTCATAAAGAGACAGAAAGAGAAAAAGAGAATGGAGAGAGAGAGAGAGAGATCCATGTGCCATTCTTCGTATGTTTTAGTCTCCAGGCCTGTAACCTTACTAGGGTTTTATAAAGTGGCACTAATACTTTGTGTGATCTTGATTCTAGGCCTCTGTTTATACAACCCAGGATTAACTCTTTTTTGGGCGGCTGCTGCACACAGCTGGCTCCTGGTCAAGGGATCGTCCACTAGGACTCCAAGGTCCCTCTCACAGTCGCTGTTTTTGAGCCAGGTCTCACCCAGACTGTACTTGGGGGTCGTTGGTGTTCTCTGAACTGGGTTGCTTTCTTGCAGACGTCTCATTATCCAACACCATCAGGGTTTTGTTTATGTAACATCACTCCTTACGAGCACTGATGGTGTTACCTAGCTGGGTCGTGAAAGGTCTGCAAGAAAACAACCCAGCTCAGAAACCATCAGGGACCCCTCATTTCAGCCCTGAGCTACAAAGAGGCTCTTTTACTGGGAGTGTCTCTCTTTCTGTCACTAACTGCCCCAATGGTGGCATCAGTAGCCTCTCTGCCAGGGGTGACGGGTGCCTCCTTTGGCACGCGCTGCCCCTCATGAACAGCTGCCTGACCCCTTCCTTCCACAAACCCCCAGGTGTCACCATGTTGACCAGCATCGCTGATGGGCTTCTCTGCTGCCTGCTGGGCAAGGTGCCCAACGTCGTGGGGCCCCTGGAGCCGGTTGAGTCTAGCAACGGCTACAGCTTTGTTGAGGTGAAGCCCGGGCGGGTCCTGCGGGTGAAGCATGTTGCCCCCTCCCACCCCCCCAGCACAGAGGAGGAGGAGGAGGAAGAGGAGCCCCAGAAGACGGGTGCCGTGCACTGCAAACGCCGGATCGCCGTGTACCGCAACGGACAGATGGTCATCGAGAACCTGGGCGAGGCAGGGCAGCAGCCCGACGTCCCGCAAGGCCAGAATGGCACCGAGGCCCAGAGCATGGTGGAGGCAGAGGTCTCAGATACGAATACAGCCACGATGCCCACAGCCAGCGGGGGCACAGCGCTCAAACGCCGCCGGCAGAAGCCCAAAAGAGTGGTCCACATTGACTGCACCAAGTACATCAGCAGCTGTAAGGGGACCCACCGGGACGTGGTGCTGTTCTTCATCCACGGGGTGGGCGGCTCTTCGGACATCTGGAAGGAGCAGGTGGACTTCTTCACCCAGCTGGGCTACGAGGTGGTGGTCCCCGACCTGGCCGGGCATGGGGCCAGCTCTGCCCCCCAGATCGCGGCCGCCTACACCTTCTATGCCCTGGCGGAAGACATGCGCAGCCTGTTCAAGCGATACGCCAAGAAAAGGAACATCCTGGTCGGACACTCGTACGGGTAAGAGGGGAAGGGGAGGGGGGTCTCTCCTGCTGATTTCCTAGAGGCAGGCCATCCTCAACTTACAACCACAACTGGGACCACAGTTTTCATCACTAAGCAAGATGATGTAGTGCGCTACCTCTGATTTTACAATGATTTTTTTTTGCTGTGGTTGTTAAGTGACTCACTGCGGTTGCTAAGTGAATCACGTGGTTGTTAAGTGAATCCAGCTTCCCCCACTGACTTTGCTTGTCGGAAGCTGGCCGGGGAGATCGCCAATGGAGATCCTGGAAACCCAGAACACTGCGACCCTCCAGGGCACTGCAACCCTCATAGAAATAGATGCCGGCTGACAAGTGCCCAAATTTTGATCAGATGCTTCTGAGCATGGAGGCTCAGCAGAGAGGCCCCCTTTGCGGTGTCTGATCACCATGCTTGTCCTCCTCCCTCTTAGGGTCTCCTTCTGCACCTTCCTGGCCCACGAATACCCGGATCTGGTCCACAAGGTGGTCATGATCAACGGAGGGGGACCCACCGCCCTGGAGCCCAGCCTCTGCTCCATCTTCAACATGCCCCCCTGCCTGCTGCGCTGCCTCTCGCCCTGCCTGGCCTGGAGCTTCCTCAAGTGAGCCTCCCGGGGAGGGGGGAGATGGGGAGGGGGGGCGGATCTCCCCTGCCACAACTGGGCTGCCCACCGGCCACGCGTGGTTCTCCTGAAGGCCACGGATGCTCTCGTTCCCAGGCACCCTCCCGCCCTGCCTGGCCTGGAGCTTCCTCAAGTGAAGAAGTGGGAGGGGTGGGAGGGCAGGCCTCCCCATGGGCCACGGTGGTGGCTTTCTCCCCCCCCCCGGACCCCCCAGGCCCTGCCCATCTATTTAGGGCAGTGGTTCTCCACCTGTGGGTCGGGACCCCATTTGGGGTCGAACGACCATTTCACGGGGTCGCCAAACAACGCAGTCCGCCATTTTTTCCCCCTTTTCCTTAGCTGTGCTACTCCCTTTTATTCTATTGGCTTTTGAAAGCCAATAGAATAGACTCTCTTGAATAGAATCTAATTCTATTGGCTTTCAAAAGCCAATAGGAAGTGTCCAGGCTGTCTCTGCCCTGCTGAGCCCGCCAAAAGTCCCATTCTGCAAACGGTGCTGCACCAGTTAAGTAGTCCTCGACTTATGACCGGTTGAGTAGTCCTCGACTTACGACCGGTTGGGGGTCGTGGCATTAAAAAGGTTGAGAACCACTGATTTAGGGGGTCGGATTTAAATCCCCCCCCCAACCACCCTCCCTCTCCTCCTGGCCGGGCTGGGGTCCTGCTTTGCCTCAGCACAGCCACGAATTGCGGGGTCTTCGGCCCACCCACCCACTGTGCTGACCCGGTGCCCTTTGCCCTGGCAGAGCCGGCTTTGCCCGCCAGGGTGCCCAGGAGAAGCAGCTGCTGAAAGAGGGCAACGCCTTCAACGTCTCTTCCTTCGTCCTGCGAGCCATGATGAGCGGGCAGTACTGGCCGGAAGGGGACGAGGTCTACCACGCTGAGCTGACCGTGCCTGCGCTGCTGGTGCACGGCATGCACGACAAGTTTGTGCCCGTGGAGGAGGACCAGCGCATGGCGGAGGTAGGGCCCCCTCCCCTGCCCCCCCCAGGAGCCCTGGCTGGCTTCTCGTTGGAGTAAAACCATAATGGGGGGGGGCTGTCCCCTTTGCTGGAGGATGCACGTGGGGGGTGAGGGGGGCTTCAGGCAGATGTGCCCAGATGCAGCAAGGCTGGCTTGACGAAGACCAGGGAGGGAGGGAGGGGTTTGAAAGGAAGCTGGAGATGCTGGTCACCTGATTGCACCCAGGTTTGCCAAGACGGGGGGAGGGAGGGGGGCCAGGAGTGGGGCTGAGCGCCATGTTGGACTCGGTGGAGGCAAAGTTTATCCAGTCTGCACAATTTCTGTGGGAAGCACAATAGCCCTCCCCAATCTGCCCCCCCCCTTAAAATTTGATTTAAGTCAAGGTCTCACTGGGGGGGGCAGCTAGTCACGATTTTCAAGCTACAGGTCAGAAAAGCTGCATTGGCTCAGAGTGGCAGAGAGGCCTATGCCAGCCTCAGAAAGGGGTCCCAGCTGCTGATCTTTCGGGGGGGGGCTGTTGCAGGCAGGACCAGTAGTACTTGGCGTTTGCACAAAGGCGCAAGTGAAACACACACATATACACACAGAGAGAGAGAGAGATTGTCCTCTGAACTTAAAGCGAGCATGCAGGGTGCAAAGTCCACCCAAAGAGCAGCCCCATACACAGCTGGGGTGCTCCTGAAGCCCCCCAAGGGCCATCTCTGACCCCCCCCTCCCTCTTTGCCCCCAGATCCTGCTGCTGGCCTTCCTGAAGGTGATAGACGAGGGCAGCCACATGGTCATGCTGGAGTGTCCGGAGACGGTCAACACCCTCCTGCACGAGTTCCTGCTCTGGGAGCCCGAGCCCCTCCCCTCCGAAGAGGCCCCCCGAGAGGCGGGGAAGAAGTAGTCAGCAGATGGGGTCCATCCTGAGGGTCCAGGGGCCACGCTTTGGTGGCTGCCCCACGGAGAGCCGCTTCCGGCGGACGGCGAGAGTTGCCACGGATGGGGGAGAGGGCGCTTTGTCTCCCCGCTTGGGGGGCCCGGCGGGGGCCCGAGGCCGGAAGGCGGGGAACCTTCCAAGCAAATGATGGCAGCAGACAGAGGATCGGCCAGCAGTGAACAGCACCCCACCCCTTCGACCACCCCTGCATTTAAGCCCCCCCGCCCCCGAAATACCCTCAGGCAGGAAAGAGAGGCAGACGTGCGTGGCTGCTGTGCTTCTTGGAACAGGATGCTGGGCCTGGGAGTCTCTGCGAAGGGGCACTGGGGCTGCCTTCCTGATGCCTCCACTGTGCCAGGGGGTGTCCCCTCCAAGCGGGCATGAAGGTGGAAGGGTGCCCGCGTGGACTGCTGGCCTTTTGACTTTTTCCTGCCCCACCACTGCTGCCCATGGAAGCGGCTGTGGGAATTTGCGGGGTGAATTCTCCCACGCTGCTGGTGGTGGACGTGGGGTTGAGACCCCCCAGCAGCCCAGCCTGGGGGCAAACGAAGGGGCAGGTGGCCCCACCCCGTCAAAACCTTCACCAGCCTCTGCCCCCTCCCCCCCAGAACTGGGGGCTGCAATCCAGCGAATGCTGGGACTGAATGTGGTTGGAGCACGCCAGAGGGGGCAAGAGGCTGTTGACCCCTCCCCAAGTTGCTTCTTTCCAACTTAGGAGATGCTGGAGTTCAGCCCAAGATGGGGGTCCAAGACTCTGCCCCCCCCCCTGTCCTCCCTGATACACACACACTTGTGTCTCCACCACAGTTTGTAAATAAACTTTGCAAAGTTGTATCTACACCCCCCCTCCAAAAAAAAAGGTATTGCAGGGTAAACTGTGCCAGCTCTCCACTCCAGCTCTGGGGGGGGGGGCTGGCAGCTGGGCACCAGCAAGACAGGATGGCAGCGTTTGGCAGCTCCTTTTCCTATCTCTGCTTCCGAGCCTTTTTCAGCCTGGGAAGGGAGGGAGAAAAAGCTGGGAATTTTACAAATTTCGATTACACGACTCTGTGTAAACCGCAACGGCCGCGTGAAAAGTGGTCACGCATTCTGTATTCGTACGTTCAGTGTTCTGTTCTCTCCTAGAAGTCACTCTTCTCGTTGTACCTTAAAACGGTCACTAACCAAACCGTTGTAAGTCAAGGACCACCTATAAAAGTCCCGATTCAAACCCACACCCTATGTGGGAGGGGCTGGGGGTCTCAGTGGGGAAATCCTGAGAATCTTCCTGAAAAGACCCCCGTTTAATTTGGGGACCTCCACGGAGCTGCTGGGGGCCGGTCCGATCCGGGAGGAGGGTTCCCACCCAACATCAGGGCCTCTTTGGAGCTGAGCTACCCCCAGGTCCGGCTGAAGATGGGCACCACGACCCACACCCCCAGTTCCCCCCCCCTCCTGCCTGGCTGTACAGCCTCCCCCAAGAGTCCTTCAGCCACCCCACCTTGGCAGCATTTGCCCTCAGGCTGGGCTCCTTTCATGTTATGCCAAGGATCAGATCTTTTAGATGGATTTATGAGATGGGAGCCTGGCCGTTTAGGCGGGCATCGGGCATCAGACCACCCCAAAAATGGAGGCCTCCAGATGAGGGTCAGCTGAGGGGGGTGCCGGTAAGGGAGCCCACCTTATTTTTACCCCCTAAACTGAAAAGACAATTTAGAGTGCAAAGGAGCATCCGTGACACCTCTGTGCCAGCCAGTCTGCTTTTGCCCGTTAGCCTCCGGCAGGGCTGAGCTGTTCCCCTGGCACCAATTGCCTCTTCCCCCCCCCCAAAAAAAGGATGGGAAAGGCACCCACTTTCTTTTTTTTTCCCCAATTCTATTCAAAAGATTAAAATACCAAATCCCAAAAGAAAAAAAAATGTAACAAAACTAGACAAGAACATTAAACAAAAAATTGAATTGAAAAAAAAAACCAGACAAAAAAAACTCCCATGTTTTCCCATCTGGTTGAACACTGGCCAACCTGTTGCAACAATCATAAGCCCCCCCCCCCCGCAAAACAGATCCAAAATTTATAAGCTTCTACGTCTATTTGACCTGTCCTACAAAACGTATATGAAATAAAAAATAGACGACGGGTTAAACAACAGTAAAGTTGTAGTTCAAGGTAGTCAGTTATTGCAATTTACTCGTAGAAAATCTAGTTTCTTATTTACCACAAAGCTCCAGGAAAGGGTCCACCTTTGTGGCACCTGTGGCTGCAAAGGAGCGGAAGGATTGAGGTCCACGTGTGCAAATGATATGTGTCCTTCAATTCCTGGGCTCTGTGCAGGAATATGATAAAATACATTTTTCCTCTCCAAAGTCTTAGCCCAGTGATGGCGAACCTTTTAGAGACCGAGTGCCCAAACTGCAACCCAAAACCCACTTATGCATCGTCCGGTGCCAGGTGGGTGTGGCCCATTGGGTGGGCGTGGCCCATTGGGTGGGTGTGGCGTGGCTGCAGTGGTAACAGCAGATTGGGTGGGACTAAAAAGTTCAATCAATCAATTCCAACTTTGCAAGATCTTTTTTTTTCCATGAGAAGTTGAAATTGACTGATTGATTGATCCTTTTTTTTTTCCACACAGCGCAGAGGCCTAAAGCAAAAAGTTTTATAAAACCCAGCTGAAGGCCTAGGACTGGGGCGACGGTGCGCATGTCCACAGAGAAGGCTCTGAGTGCCGCCTCTGGCACCCGTGCCATAGGTTCACCACCACTGTCTTAGCTCCGTCCCCAGTTAAAGAGGGCAGACCCTATCTTCCCTTTGGGGAAATTGGGGACTCCTGGATGGAACCACTAGGTTGAGTCCACCAAGTTGGACCCAGCCAAAGTTTCTGGCTGTGTTTGCATGCACACACGTGTAGGAAGTGTGTGTGTGTGCGCGCGCCATCCATACATGCTTCTTGAGAAGTTACTCTGTCAGTTGAGGAAAGTGAGGCCAAAATAATAATTCTGAACTATTTGGGTAGCAAACTTTTGTTGCCCTTAGCTCAGGGGTCTTCAAACTTGGCAACTTTAAGACTTGTGGACTTCAACTCCCAGAATTCCTCAGCCAGCTTGGGGTGTTTCGCACCCGGTTGGATTTCTATCGCACAGCCCATCGGACCTTTCCTCACTGAGCACTTCAGCCAGGTCTCTATACTCCTGTGTTACAGAATTTTAATTTCTCTATTGGTGAAAAAATAAATCAGAAGCTCTCCCAGTTGACTGCATTTAGCTGATTCAAAATAATTTCTTTATATTCATATAAAAATATTTACAATACCATACATTCTTCTTTACAGCAACACAGGTCAATTGAAGACTTCTTACAGAGAGATACAGAGACAGATCTGAGACTGGAAATCCAGCTCCTAACTCAATACCTTTTTGTACAGACTCAGTAGCACTTTCTTCACATTGGCTGACTGAGTTACCACATGAGTTCCTGCTCATGAATATTCCAACATTCTGGTAGTTCCTTCCCTCCACATACACTGTAGCTTTCTCGGCGGGGCTCCACCGTTTCGGGGCTGGGCTGGTGCCTCAGCCAGTTCCCCTTTTGGGAATCTGGGTTCCGCCATTCTCCAGTCCACCAGTGGGTTCCACTTGGTCAGCCACGCCATGCCCAGAATTAGGGGGCATTCCATGCCAGGGGTCACCACCATAGTCTCTACGTCAGTGGTTCTCAACCTTTTTAATGCCGCGACCCCCAACCGGTTGTAAGTGGAGGACTACAACCAGTCCGCCGCAGTGCCATCCAGGGCGGCTTGTACGATGCGGACCCTGGTTTGATCACTTGGGATGTCACGGCCGTATTCCTCCATGTAGCTTAGCACCTGGATCAGGAAGAATCCCAGGCACCGTGGCTCCCTACGGTACTTTACATCCAGTGGTGGGAACTTCTGGATGGGTCGATGCCTCTTCTTCCACTTGTGTCGTCTCCTCTCTCTGTCTGTAGTTGCCGCTCAGCAAGGGATGGCTGCAGCAGTGGTGACAGCAGCAGTTTCGGTGGTTCCTTCGGAGGGGTCTGGAATCTCGAGTTCGGCTTCCCCTTCGTTGGTTCTCCTGGTGGACCCCAGACCCTGGTATGATTTGGCTTTCTCCTGCTTCATGGAGTCATCATGTTGATTGCCTGCTCCAACATTCGGCTAGAGTACATCGGGCGGTCCTCCTCGTCTTCGCTAAAATGGAGAGACCTTTCCATCTCCTCCTCCAACCATCCTGGTTGATGACTGCCCCGTCTGAACATCACCTTCCTGGCCTCCTTCTCCCAGTCCTCCTTCTTTCCGTCGCCCATCGACCATCTGGGCTTGTGGCGGCGTTCTGCGACCACTTACTCCTCCGATGACCCAGGGCCCCAACGGAGGCAAAGCAATAAGCTGGCAAGAGCAATAGTCTTTTTAATCACTGCCAATGTTCACCCAAAAGCCCCCACATATGCTGGCACGAGTTCAAACAATATAGCCAGGGAAGTTTACACTGTTCTCAAGGCAAGACAGATAACAAGAAAACGTAAAGAGTCCTTTTAACTCAGTGTTTCTCAACCTTAACAATTTTAAGGCATGTGGACTTCAACTCCCAGAATTCCACAGCCAGCAATGCTGGCTGTGGAATTCTGGGAGTTGAAGTCCACATGCCTTAAAATTGTCAAGGTTGAGAAACACTGTTTTAACTCTTAGCTTGCCTGCAAACTGCAAACTGCAAGATGAGATCAGGAATGTAGTCTGTGGTCGTGAATGAGGAAACAAACTGGTCCAGAATACAGAGTGTCCAGGTCACAAGAGCACAAGTCACAACAATCTCAAGATCCCACGTTTGTTCCCGGCAAATGCCCCACCCCACAGCGTCTCCTTAAATCCTAATCCCCAGGTGTGCCTTGTGGAGTGGGGTGGGACACTGTCCTCCTCTCTGCTCTCCTTGCTCTGGGATCAGGTGGGGAGGGACCTTGCTCCTCACCTGAACTCTGCCTTCCCTATTCCAAACCTGAAGGGCCCTGGCCTGCCTCAGCCTGCTCCTCCTCACAGTTCTCTGAAGTCACAGACACCCCCTCCTGGGCCTCAACAGGGAATGCCATGTCTTCCTTGGATGGAGGCACGACAGAGCCCAAGAATCCAGAGGTAGAGTAATTGCAGGGGTCTGCCCGGCGGCGGGAGGCTCCGTTGTCTGACACAATTTGCCAAGTCCTCCGGTAAGGGTCTTCCTTCCGGGCTGATTGTTTCTGCAGATCCTGCCTAATGTCAGGCCCACTTCAAAACCTCATCTTAAGGAAGCAGAACCCTTGGAAGCCAAAGGAACTTTTATTAGGAGAAGTTGACAGCAGGCATAGAAGGCAGGATCTGAGGGTTTCCAGCTCAGATCGATAGGTTAAGAGAGTCCCAAGCAAACCCATCCGGTCAGTTCGAATGGGCCAATCCCCAGGTGTTAAGTCCTTTGTGGGAAAGAGCTGATACTCGTAGCAATGTTTGTTGGGTCACATTCCTTTCTCCCCCCCTCCCCAAGCTGACATCAAGGGAGAGACAGTTCAAAGAGCGCAAGTATGCAGAGACTGCAAAAGGGAGAAACAAAGAGGCAGCATCTCCTTCCAGGAGTATGGCAGAACCCAGAAGAACAGAAGAAACCCCTTTAATAATACGGGTTCTGACATCCAGCTTTGACTGACAGATGGACATGGGAAGGGCTCGAACTCACCTCTTAGAGGATATTCATCTGTTTGAAAATGTAAGCAGGGACTTTTTGATGGCTGCCAGTCCAACTTCCCTTCTGGGAAAGAAGCCCCGGTGTTCTGCCCAAGTCCTAAATAAAGGGTCTCGTGTCCCGGAGAGGTGGGCTTTCGTCTCTTGAATTCACCCATCAAGACCGATTTGCTGAGGGGCACCACGTGGTGCCCTCTCCCCCTTGCAGGGTGATGTTCTGTGCCTGGGATCAGGCTAGCTTTGGTCCTTCCCAGGGAGACCCCCCCACGCTGGCTAGGCCGTCTCTGGGGCTGCCCCCTTCCCCACTGCCCACCCCGTGGACCCAACTGGAAGTCAGCCATGAAAGCTAGCAGGATGACCCTGGGCCGTTCCCTCTTCCTCAGCCCAACCCACCTCACAGGGTTGTTGTCGGGGAAAGACGAAGGTATGTTGGATGCCATTGGATTCACTGCTTTATTTGTAGAAGGGATGGATGGATGGAAGGAAGGAAAAGAGAAAGAGGAAGGAAAGGAGGGAGGAAAAGAAATTAAGGGAGGGAGGGAGGAAGAAAAGAAGAGGGAGGGAGGGAGGAAGGAAAAGAAAGGAAGGAAGGAAGGAAGGAAGGAAGGAAGGAAGGAAGGAAGGAAGGAAGGAAAAGAAAGAAAAGGAAAAGAAGGGAGGGAGGGAGGGATTTTGGCACCTGAAAAACAGCCTGGCTTTGCATTCCTGGCTGAAATAGAGAAAAGGTGGGATTCCCCCCCCCCATGTTCACCCTTCCCGGGAAGCCCTCCGGGGGCTGGAAAAGGTCCCATCCACTGAACCGATTGTTCCACAAATGGGCCCAGGAATCTGGGGCTCTCTGTGGGTGTGGGGTTCTAGGTTTTTCTGGTGGGTGATGGTTTGGTTCCAATTTGGTTCCTCTCTGCACAACCAGAAAAGTTTGAAAACAATTTGCAGCCTTGCATCACAAAAGCTGCCAGCACCTTGGAGTGAAAGGGCTGGAGGGCAGAAAGTTGGGGGGGGCGCCCACAGAAGGGCAACCTGGCTATTTCCCCCCCCCCCGGAACCAAACTGAGGCTTGCTTGCAGTCCCCACTTTGGACACCTGGTCAAGCAGCACCGCCCGTCACAGATTCGGGGCTCCCAAATTTACCCCCACCCCAGCAAAACCCAGCAGGGCCCGGCTTTTCTCCTTTTGAGAAGGGGGCAAAGGTTTTCATGAGGCTGGGGGAGACAGCTAGTCTGCAACTTATGACCGTTAACAGACCCTGGGATTTCTGTCATATATCATGACAGTCGTAAGTCGCAAGACACCCACGTGACCGACCCGATTTTATGACATTTTTTGCAGCGGTCGCTAAGCAAACACATCAGCCGTAAAGTGAATGGGGCAGTCGTTAAGAGAGACCCATTATCTGCAACAGAGCGCCCGGAGTTGCTTAGAAACAAGACAGGCGGTGCCTAAATTTAATTAATAAATATATAGCTGGAGACCGTGGAGAAATTTCCTGACGGTTAGAACAATTAGCCAGTGTAACTCCTCGTCTCCAGAAGCGATGAATGCTCCAACATTGGAAGTTTTTAAGAAGAGACTGGACAGCCATTTGTCTGAAATGTGTATAGGCTTTTCTGCCTGAGCAGGAGGTTGGACTAGATGACCTCTAAGGTCCCTTCCAACATTATTATTATTATTATTATTATTATTATGGATCATCGCACAGTCAGCCAGATGTTCAGACTGGATTTGGCATTTTATCTACCTATCGAGTCCTTACCCAGGACCTGGGATAGGCAGATATGGATGTTTGATGGTATTACAGATATTATTATTTATTTAATTAATTAATTAATGCAGGCCTTGCCCAAGTGCCCAGAATGTGGTTGCCGGAGGAGGGGACGGCCATCACAACTTCAAATTCCTAGTCATAAATACATTTGGGGGGGGGGTCCATCGGAACCACTAACAGTCACTAAGTGATCGGTCATAAGCTGAGGATGGTCCTTAAAGAAAGACGAAGGCCCTGGGGTTGCTAACCCTCCTCCTTTCCCCTGCTTAATTACACCCCCTCCCCATTTTAAAAAGAAGAGGAGGGTCCCAGAAAAGGATCAAGCGCAGAATCCAGCAGACTTTTTGCCCCCCTAAAAAAAAACTCATTTAATGCCCCCAATCCCAGATGAGGGGAAAATGGAAAAAAAGTCTTTAAAAACATAATGCAGCCCCAGAATTTTTCTAAAAAGTCCCCACTGCCAGACATAAAAAGGGGTCTCCAGCCCGCAGAGAACCTGAACGATGAGAGAACTGCGTCTTTTGTTCCCAGAACAGAAGAACTGACTGGGGCTTCTTGGGGGGGGACTCTCTCCCAGGACATGACTGGATGCAACTGGGACCCCCACCCAAAATCGCTTCCGAACACGGGTGCAGCCCTCCGTCTCCGCTCAGTGTCAAGAAGAGGAGCAATTTCACAATCTGGACCCTCGGCTGTGTGAACGAGGGATCAAGGCGACCCCCCCACGGTGGAGCTCCGGATCCAGAGGGTCTGCTTGGAGGGAAGGGCCCCCGGGACCCCGGGGTCAAGGGCCAGTTCAGATATCAGCGGGGCGCAGCTGCCTCTCGCCCTCCCCGAGGAAGATCTGGAGAGCTCGGTGCAGGAGAAAGACCCCCAGGCTGCGACGGCGTTTCATGGGCCAGCCGGCCACCAGGCCATAATAGTTCCCCTTCTTCTGATTGGTCAGCATCTTCAGTCCTGGGGGGGGGGGAGAGGCAAGAGAGAAGGGGCTTGTAATCACACAACACACACACATACACATACACGCCCTGATGGGAATCGCCACCCCTGGGAGAATCTCCCAATTCCCACCCTCCCTACACAGGGGGCTGCCCCAAATGCCAATGCCCGGGGTAGGAAGGTGCTTGGGCAAAGTCCCCCTCCCCTCCCAAGGGTCTAGGGAGGAGGGGAACAGGGTTGGGGAAGGCGGGGGGGGGGGGGGCGGAAGCAGCTGTGGTCAAAGGCAGAAAGAAAATGGATGAAACTCATTCCTGCCTTGGGCAGGGGGCTGGACTAGATACAGGGGTCTCCAACTTAGTGAGTTTACGACTTGTGGACTTCAACTCCCAGAATTCCTCAGCCAGCCCTGTTGGCTGAGGAATTCTGGGAGTTGAAGTCCACAAGTCGTAACATTGCCAAGGTTGGAGACTGGCTGAGAAATTCTGGGAGTTGAAGTCCATAAGTCATAACATTGCCAAGGTTGGAGATCCCTGGAGTAGACCTCAAGGTCCCTTCCAGCCCTAGGAAACTCTATGGAAAGGGTGTGGGGGGAGGGGGAGGGAGGGAGAGAGAGAGGGAGGCTGGACTGACCTCCAAGGTCCCTTCCAGCCCTAGGAAACTCTATGGAAAGGGTGGGGGGGAGGGAGGGAGGGAGGGGGAGAGAGAGAGAGAGAGAGAGAGAGAGGCTGGACTTGACCTCCAAGGTCCCTTCCAGCCCTAGGAAACTCTATGGAAAGGGTGTGAGGGGAGGGGGAGGGAGGGAGAGAGAGAGGGAGAGGGAGAGAGAGGCTGGACTGACCTCCAAGGTCCCTTCCAGCCCTAGGAAACTCTATGGAAAGGGTGGGGGGGAGAGAGGGGGAAGGAGGGAGGGAAGGGGAGAGAGAGAGAGATAAAGAGATAGATAGAGAGAGAGAGAGGTTGGACTGTTTTCAGCAAATGGGCCTATTTGGGGTCCAGAGTCAGCCCACCTGGGTGGGCAAGGACGAAGGGAGCCTGCAAGGGACAGGGAGCCCCCCCCCATGTCGTGCGGACCCCCAGAGGCTTACCAATGGCCTCCACCATGCAGGCCTCGCGGGTGTACGCCTCCGCGGGAACGACGTTCTGGAAGCAGTGCATGGAGACCACCCCCTGCCCCCCGGCCCAGATCTCCAGGATGTGCTGGACTTTCAAGCAGACCTGCAGGGCAGAGGGGGGGGGCTGATCAAAGGGGAGCAGCCGCTGAGACGGACAGAACAATGCCCCGCCCACCACCTTGGGGTCAAATGGCCACCACCCCTTCCCCAAACTGAGCCTCCCACTCCTGTGAGTTCTGGGGGGGGAGGATTCTGGGGGTTGTAATCTAACCCCCACTTGGGGAGGGTAGAGCAGCGGCTACCAACCCCGAGGTCAGGCAGCCAAAGGTTTCTGCCACACCGAGCGGTCAAAGATCAATCCACGGTGATCGAAGCTAGACTGCCCCTGAATTTGGAAGCTCCGTGCGTAGCGGAGGAGGCCGAGACTCCAGAGAAGCCTCCAGAGGATGCCCAGGCTGGCCCCAGAGCTGCCGAGGGCTGCCCACCTGCCTTGCCGGCGCCCCCTGGCCCTCCCGGTGGTGGGTCAAGGCTTCGTAGAGGTGGCGGTAGGGCCGCCCGCGCGTCCCTTTGCCCACGTAGAAGATGGCCTGGATGAACGTCCGGAAGCACTCGGACGAGCTGAGGAGCTGGCAGCGGGCGGGCAGGTTCTGGGTCACCCTGCGGAAGAGCAGAGCCACGAGACCATCAGCCACAGCGGGGGTCTCCCTGCTGCCCCCAAAGCTGGCAGCCCAGGTAGCCGTTTCCCCCCAACTGCCCCCCATCCGGAGGGGCTCTTACCTGGGGTCCAGCAGCAGGTAGTTGAAGCTGGACTTGAGCAGCCCCTCCCGCCACCTGCGGCTCTTGTCCGGCCGGTCAAACTCTGCGGCCAGAGCCATCTCATCGGCTCTGGAGTTGGGGATCCAGTAGGTCTCCAGAGAGGACGTCAGCTCTGGGCTGTAGGCTGAGCAGAAGAGGGGGTTGGGTGCAGGACGCCCGAAGGGGGCTCTGGCTGGTCAAATGCCCCTCCCCCACCATGTTCAGGACTTCTCCCAAGCTCCTCTGGGAAGAGGGGTCAATCAGGGACACACACACACATACACACAAATACACACACACACCCTACTTCCTTAAGGCCAGGCGCTCTCCCCTTGCACCCGGGACTTCAGCACATAAACCTCCCTCCCTCCTTGGAGAGCTCATCTCCCCCCTTTGCCCCCCATCTCCCCTTCCTGTCTCTCTCCTTCTACTCTTCCCCCGACCCCCCCAGGAGGGTCTCCTCCAGCTTCCGAGGGACCCCAGGGGCACCCACCAGCAGAGCCCTTCCGGGCCAGGTTCTCGGGCTCCCTGCTCAGCCTCTCCAAGAGCCAGACGTACAGCTTCCGAGTGAGGGGGGTCACCGGCCCCGGGTCAGCCCCCAACTCGCGCAGCTTGCGTGCCAGGGCTTCATCGGTCATTTCCTCCAGGTTCAAGGGGGCGCTTCCCCCGTTGCCCAGCCTGCCCACCGCTGTATACGCCTGCCAGTCGTAAAGGATGGTGTCTTCGGAGCTACTGGCCCCGGAGTCATCCGTGGGGGGCATGTGCCGCTCAACGAGGGAGTGCCCCCCTTCCTCATCCACATAGAGGTATTCCACGGGCTCCGTGGCGCTCAGGTTCATAGGCCGGCCCCCCGGTGACAACAGCAAATCCTGGTTAATGGGGCTCAACCTTCCTGGGGAGCAAGCAGCAGACGGGCCCCTCCCGGACAGTCGGCTGAAACTGACCCTGGAGGTCTTCTCCACTCTGTTGCCCGGAAACCCTCGGACACCCAAGCTCTCCAGATGACCCTCTGGGTGGTCCAGAGCAGCGTCTCCCTGGGAGGGCTGTTCCACCTCCAACTCTGTCCTCCCGGAGGGCTCTTCCCCCCCTCTGCCAATGTCCCTCCTTGAGCTGGCAGGACAGCAGCCCAAAGAGCGAGGTCCTGGGTTCAAGGATGGCATCCTGCTCCTGGGGAGAGCCGAGATGGCTCTGCCCTCCTCCTCCGTCTCCTCTGCTTCTCTCGCGGAGGGGGGCGAGCACTCAAGATTCACAGGCTCTCGGTGGGAGGCCGGTCCGAGGCCCCTCCTGACCCTCCTGGGACGCTTCGGCAACTCCAGAGGCTCCTCAAAGAGAGAGGAGGAGCTGATGCTCTCGTGTGGAAGGGGACCAATCAGGGGGCTTTGGGGCCAGGGGGGCACAGGGCAGCACTGACGGTTTGAGGGGAGGAGTGGAGGAGAGTGGGCGACCTTGGTGGCCAGCATCATTGACCGGAGCTGGGCATCCAGAGTGCTGGAGGACTCTTCTCCAACACCAGCAGGTGGACACAGGGCCATCTCTGTGTTGCCCACAGTGCTGCTCATCCCGAACGGACCCCCACAGCCGTGGAAACGATTCCTCTCTTCCTGTGGCCACTGGACAGGAACGGTGTCTTGAGAGGACGAGCTCTGTTGCCCCTCTTCTGCCTGCCGGGGGCTCGTGGGGAGAGCCAACCTTGGCAGACTCCCCCCTGTGCCCACCTCCACCAGTTCTTCCCTTGCTCCAGAGAGGGCTGACCCCGGACGTTCCACGGGTAGCCCCCAAGTCTCAGCGGGTCCCCCAATCACCAGCGCAGACCCTTCCCAAGTCGCCTTGTTCTCTGGGGGATCCATCGTGGACCTTGCCCCCCTCCTCTGCGAGATGTCCCACGTGTTCCTAGGGTGAGGCAGAGCCAAATCGTGACTCCCAGGAGAGATCTGGGCAGCCCCTGTGGTGGGGAGAGTCCTCTGGCCATGGAGACCCGTCTCCAAGGGAGTCCCCAGGCCGGTGGGTGGCCCACAACACAACCCTCCATTGCTGGTGTTGCAGCCATCTGCAGGGCCACTAGGGGCAGCCTTCCCATCTTCCCACTCATGAACGTAGCCGCATTCTGGGTCTTCCACAGTGCTTGTATAACATTCACTAATGCATGAAACATACTGGTCAGTGCTGGAGGCTGAGCACCTGCCCAGTGACCTTCTTCTTGCCAAGTATCCATCCGGAGTCCCACTGACCCCCAGGACAGAGGCCGGGTCCACCATGATCTTTCCCGAGTCCGACACGGCTGTGGACTCAGCCCGGGAACAGAGAGCGAAACCATCAGGGCAGGCGACATCCAGCCCATCCTGGCTTTGGAGCCCCACCGAGAGGCCCGGATCCAGGGAGCCACCCACAGGAGAAAGGTCACAGGTGTTGGCATCTTGTGGGCGATGGCGTTGGCCCGCTTCTGGCTCAGATTTGGTTCCCAGGCTGGCAGAGGGCAGGGTCTTCTGCGGGGATCTTGCCGCATGTGGCATGTTCGGTCTGAACAAGAGAGCCTCGATGCCCACTAAAGAGAGGGGACCACAAGGGGCCGTGTCTGGGCCTCGGGGTGAGCTGCACTCTCCCTCTGCAGGGTCCCGGGTGTCCCAAGACCGCTTCACACCGGTGTCCAACGGGGAGCACCCCACCTCGCCATCCCGAAGCGTCTGCACATCAGCACGAGTCACGGCTGGCTTCCCGAAGGGCAGCGAGGCATTGGGGGAGCCCCCTGGCTGGAGGCTGAAGTCCGATAGATCCAAAACTGTGTCTCCCTGCCAGGAACACTCGGTGAGAAAGGAAGAGGCTGACCGATCCTGGGTGCAAGGCCCAGGGGCGCCGTTTGGTGCAGCTCCCCCAGGCCGAGAGAAGGTCCCACACGGCTCCCTGCACTGACAGGGCTCCTTCCGGGAGGATCCATCAGATGGATAAAGGAGAGAGTCGCTCGGTCCAGTTTCCCCAGCATCTTCCATGATGGTGGACAGGAAGCTTTCTGCTCTCCGCTGAGCTGCATAAAAGATTGAGGTGGGGCGAATATTCGAAGCCTTTTGTTAAGATTATCTTTGGCAGTCCCAAAGGGTTCTTTTCAAGAGGAAACTGGAGTTTGTTTTTCCTTGAAGAGGTTTCGCTCCTCATCCCGGAGGCTTTCTTCCGTTCTGAGCAAATGGGGGGGAGGACTGGAGGAGTTTATCTTCTTTGCAGTCAGCTGGTCGTCAGCACGCTGTCTGAGAGTCGTTGAGGCCACCTGAAGGTTTATCTGTGCCCTCAGGGTCACCTGAATCAGAGCGCAAATGGCGGCTGCAAGGAATACAAATCCTTCCATTCTCCACCGTTCAGCCAGAACAGAAAAAGCCTCTGGGCTGGGAAGCGACACCTCTTCAAGGAAAAACCAAGAAAGTCCAGTTGACTTTTGAAAAAGCATCTTTGGGACAACCGTGACGTGGATGACTGAGAGTCTCCATAGACATTATGACGGGCAGGTTTGGCCCTTGGGACCCCCAGACACTTACAGAAGCTGCTGTTCCACTTTTCGTCCTGCAGGATGCTGACACATCTTTCATACCCCTGCTCCACAGCCAGGTCAATGGCGGTGCTCCCGTCCTGAGAGAAGGAAAGACAGAATCAGCCACTGGGTGCTGCTGCCCCCTTTCTCCCTGCTGAGGGATTCCTTCCAGCCCCCCACCCCCCACCCCAGATCTGGGCTTCCTTTATTCTGGGGAAGGCATCCAATCCGTTGTAACTGTCACCCAAGGCCACTTTCAGGCTAGAAACGGTCCTGAAAGGGTGGCTCTCCTGGGGCACAGATGCCCCAAATCACGTCTCAAGGAGAAAGGGGTCTCCCGCTAAATCCAACTGCTGTGGGGCAGCAAGCTGGAACCTGAAACCGTGGGATGAAGAGAGCTTTCAAAACCAGGGTTTGGGCTCAGAATTTCAGACAGCCAGGTGTAAATCCACCTTCGCTCCATTCAAAGCGGTGAAGCTGGGGATTATGGTTTATGTGTGGCTTGAACCTTTTCGATTCCAAACAGGATTTACAACATTAAAAAAAATGCAGGCAGGAGGCCTAAACCCCAGCCTCCTGGCCTGAATTTTATTCCCGGCTGAAATGGAAAAATGCATTCGCCTTTGAGTAACTTATCTTCCCCAGCTCTTAAAGTAAAGACAGAATTTTTTTTTCCCAGCTGAGGGGAAGAATCAGACAAGAAAAGGACCATTTTGGTGGTGCAGCAGTTAGAGTGCAAGTACTGCAGGCCACTTTAGCTGACTGTGTTCAGCAGGTCAGCGGTTCAAATCTCACCGGCTCAAGGTTGGCTCAGCCTTCCATCCTTCCGGGGTAGGTCAAAGGAGGACCCAGATTGTTGGGGGCAATGTAAATATATATATACATTGCTTACTGGTGTACACCGCTTAGAGAGTGCTCGCACTTAAAGCGGTATATAAGTCTCATAAATAAATAAATAAATAAATTTTAAATGCTGGGGGGGGGGATTTGCTCCCAGCATCTCCCGCGAGGCAGAGACCAAGCCAACATCGGAAAACTTAGTGGCCAGTGAGCGTCCTTATGACCCTGCTCTTCCCCTCAAGGCAGTTGTGAGTTGCAGGGGTTGTGGCACACCAGTGGAGTCGATGTCTCCCATCAGTGGCCGGCTTGGGCGAGGGGGCAGCCGTAGCCAGCCCCACCCGCCACTTCCTGGGGAGAGAAGCATCTGGACCAACCTGGTCTTCAAGGTGAGGGTCGCCACCCTCGGCCAGCAGGACCCTCAAGCAGGCGCTGTGACCCCAGGAGGCTGCCACATGCAGGGGGGTGAGGCCTTCAGCAGATCTGGGCACAAGAGAGGACATTGGACACGGTCTTCCTTCCTTCCCTCCCTCCCTTTCTCTTTCCTTCCTTCCTTCCCTCCCTCCCTCTCCCTTTCTTTCCTTCAATGGATGGAAACACTTGGAATCCTGCATCCAGTTTTGTATGTAAAAAAGATGTTGAGACTCTAGAAAGAGGGCAGAGAAGAGCAACAAAGATGATCAGGGGACTAGAGGCTAAAACATATAAGGAACGGTTGCTGGAATTGGGTATGTCTAGTTTAACGAAGGACGAGGGGGGACAGGATAGCAGTGTTCCAGTATCTCAGGGGCTGCCCCAAAGAAGAGGGAGTCAAGCTATTCTCCAAAGCGCCTGAAGGCAGGACAAGAAGAAACGGATGGAAACTAATCAAGGAGAGAAGCAACCTGGAACTAAGGAGAAACTTCCTGACAAGTGAGAACAATTAACCCGTGGAACAGCTTGCCTCCAGAAGCGGTGAATGCTCCAACACTGGAAGTTTTTAAGAAGAGACTGGACAACCATTTGTCTGAAATTGTATAGGATTTCCTGCCTGAGCAGGGGGTTGGACTAGATGACCTCCAAGGTCCCTTCCAACTTTTTATTATTATTATTATTATTGATCATCGCACAGTCAGCCAGATGTTCAGACTGGATTTGGCATTTTGTCTGCCTATCGAGTCCTTACCCAGGACCTGGGATAGGCAGATGTGGATGTTTGATGGTATTACAGATATCGTCGCAGGATGGAAACAGTTCCTAATAAGGCCGCCTTTTGCAATTGACTAATAGCGAATTTGTCAATGCCAATGGTGTTCAAGTGGTGCTCCAGTTGTTTTGGGATTGCACCCAAGGAGCCTATGACTATTGGTACTACCCTTGCTTGCTTTTGCCACAGTCTTTCTATTTCTATTTGTAGGTCTTTGTATTTTGTTATCTTCTCCAGTTCTTTCTCTTCTATTCTGCTATCTCCAGGCACTGCCACGTCCACTATCCAGACTTTTTTGTCTTTCTTATCGACAATTGTTAAGTCTGGGGTGTTATGTTGCAGGTGCTTGTCTGTTTGAATTCTGAAGTCCCAGAGCAGTTTAATTTTATCATTTTCTATGACTTTCTCTATTTTATGATCCCACCAGTTTTTGCTTACAGGCAAATGATATTTTTTGCAGATCTTCCAATGCACCATTGTTGCTACTTTGTCATGCCGCTGCTTGTAATCAGTCTGTGCAATCTTCTTGCAACAGCTTACCAAGTGGTCCACTGTTTCTTCAGCTTCTTTGCATAGGCGGCACTTACTGTCTGTTGCTGTCTTCTCAATTTTGACTTTGTATGCATTTGTCCTTAAGGCTTGGTCTTGTGCAGCCAGAATTAGTCCCTCGGTCTCTTTCTTCAATTTTCCTGCTCTTAGCCATTGCCAGGTTTTATTATTATCTGCTTTCCCAGCTATTTTTTTCATGTATTGGCCATGTAGTGCTTTGTCTTCCCATGCCTCTATTCTGTTCTTCATTTGGTCTTTCTTGTAGGCCAGTTTGGTCTCTCCAGTAGTTAGTAAGCCTTCCTGATATACTAATTTCAGTGCATCTTCATCATTGTTCTTCAGATATTCTTCCAAAGCCATTTTTTCTTCTTCAACCATCTGATGTACTTGTAGCATTCCACGCCCACCTATTTGCCTTGGTAGATAAAGTCTATCAATGTCACTGCGTGGATGAAGGGCATGATTCATTGTCATTATTTTTCTGGTCTGCCTATCCATTGCTTTTAGTTCTGCTTGAGTCCAGTCCACTATTCCAGCTGTGTACCTAATGACTGGGATTGCCCAGGTGTTGATTGCCTTTATGGTATTTCCTCCATTGAGTTTGGATTTTAAGATCTTCTTCACTCTCTTGATGTATTCACCTCTAATCTTTTTCTTGACTTCAGTGTGCTTGATGTTGTCAGCTTGAAGGATACCCAAGTATTTGTAGTACTCTTCCTCATCCAGACTCTTAATGTTATTTTCGTGGGGCATCTTGATTCCTTCAGTTTTCATTATTTTTCCTTGTTTGATAGTAAGTGTGGCACATTTGTCCAAGCCAAACTCCATTACAATATCTTGGCTATATATACGGACAGTGTTGAGCAGCGATTCTATTTCAGATGATGTTTTTCCATACAGCTTCAGATCATCCATATAAAGGAGGTGGGATAGTCTGGCAGATGTTTTTGATGTTTGATAGCCATGTCCTGAGTTATTCAGTATTGTTGATAGATTATTATTATTATTATTATTATTGTTATTGTTATTATGAGAGGAAACAACCTGGAACTAAGGAGAAACTTCCTAACAGTGAGGACAATCAACCAGTGGAACAGAAGCTGTGGGCGCTCCATCCCTGGAGGCTTTTAAGATGAGACTGGACAGCCATTGGTCCAAAATGGGCATAGAGTCTCCTGCATGAACAGGGGTTGGACTAGAAGACCTCTAAGATCCCTTCCAGCTCTATTCCAATTGTAATTCTTCCTCCCTATCCCGTTCTCCTTCCTTCCTTCCTTCCTTCCTTCCTCTATTTCCTTCCTTCCTCTATTTCCTTCCTTCTTCCTTCTTCTTCTACTGCTGTTCCTTTCCTTCTTTCTTATTTGCTAATTTATTCCTCTTAGCTGCCTAGCTGCCTTCTCCCAGATGCCCGGGTCCGGCCCAGAAGCCCCCCCCCATCAGAACTGCCATCTCACTCCTGCACCCCAGTGCCAGTCTGGGGTGGAAGAGGGAGGGAGGAGTCCTTGGGGGAGGAAAATGAAAGTTACAACAGTGAAGGTGCTCCACTATGAGAAGAACGAAGCAGCCTACAGCCAGAGTGGCCATTTCAAAAACATTGTCTTGGGAATTGATGAGGGGCAATGAGGGGAAACACCTAAGCAGGGGAAGGTTTTCAGCTGGGGAATTTGGCACGCGAATTTCAGCTCTGGCTTTGCTTTACTGCAACTCGCCTGATCTTCGGTAAACTCTGCCTTTCTCCTGAAATCAAGGATCATTCTTGCTTAAAGGCAGGACTGACACCCTCAGACCCATCCTGGCTTTGCTCAATCCAGGTTTTCTTGCAATCCCCTCCCCCCCAAAAAAGGCGCACACCAGATGCTAACCTCAGCAGAGAACTCAGGCGATGTAGGAGATGACCAGGCTGAGCCCGAGGGAGGAGGGGTCAAACACGCCATTAATCACAAGTCCCTTCATGCCCACAAGAGATCTAAACCCAGCCACCTGGAATGCCTTCTTATCTCCCGCTCGTTTCCTTTGACCGTTAGTAGCTCAGGTTGTTGTAGAGAGCTTAAGCTTGCAATATATTTTTGTACCCATTTGAACTGCCTGCATGTCCCAATTTCCTGGGCATTTGACAGACAGTCTTTCTGGGCAGCACCTGTCATTTTTGGCACGTCTTGGTCAGAATCCCTCACACCCCCCTAATAATAATAATAATAATAATAATAATAATAATAATAATAATAATAATAATAATAATAATAATAATGTAATAATAATATAACCACTTGAACACCATTAGCATCGACAAATTCGCTATTAGTCAATTGCAAAAGGCGGCCTTACTAGGAATTGCTTCCATCCTGCGACGATACCTGTAATATCATCAAACATCCACATCTGCCTATCCCAGGTCCTGGGTAAGGACTCGATAGGTAGACAAAATGCCAAATCCAGTCTGAACATCTGGCTGACTGTGCGATGATCCATAATAATAATGAAGTAATAAAGTTGGAAGGGACCTTGGAGTCATCTAGTCCAACCCCCTGCTCAGGCAGGAAACCCTATACCATTTCAGACAAATGGCTGTCCAGTCTCTTCTTAAAAACTTCCAGTGTTGGAGCATTCACCACTTCTGGAGGCAGGTTGTTCCACTGGTTAATTGTTCTAACTGTCAGGAAGTTTCTCCTTAGTTCCAGGTTGCTTCTCTCCTTGATGAGTTCACATCTGTTGCTTCTTGTCCTGCCTTCAGGCACTTTGGAGAATAGCTTGACTCCCTCTTCTTTGGGGCAGCCCCTGTGATACTGGAACGCTTCTATCATGTCCCCCCTCGTCCTTCTCTTCATTAAATTAAACCTACCCAATTCCAGCAACCTTTCCTTGTATGTTTTAGCCTCCAGTTCCCTAATCATCTATGTTGCTCTTCTCTGCACTTTTTCTAGAGTCTCAACATCTTTTTTGCATCATGGTGACTGATTGCATTGTATTCTGTCCCACCCAGGGACCTAAAGCAGTGGGGGAGGGGGGCACTTTGTATCCGACAACCTGTGAGACAGACTCTGTGAAAGTTTGGCAGGCAGTTGAACTGGCTTCCCTGCCCTCTGCCCACAGTGGGAGTAGATGACCTTTGGATTTCCTTCCATGTTTCTACGCTCCCCACGTCCCTCTGGCTGGAGGGGATCCCTCTCATGCTGGGGGTTGACTCTGCTCCCCCCAATGTTGCCTTGACACAACCAGCAGCTTTGTGTGTTCACAAGGAAGGAGCCCCCTCCGCGTACCTGATGTTGGGGTCTCCCCCGTGCTGGAGGAGGAGGCGGAGGAGGTGCTGACGGATCCCGTCCTCCTGCTCCAGGCCGGCAGCCAAGTGCATGGCGGCCACTCCCTCCGGCAGGACCAAGTTGGGGTTGGCTCCCTCCTGGAGCAGGGCAGCCACCATCCTGGAAAGCAGAGGGAGGGGGTTAGCTTGAAGAAGGGGGGGGGGTCCCAGCAGGAAAGGTGAGCCAGAAGGAGCAGGAGGACTAGCTGCCCCTTTAAAAGCCCTTCTTTTCCAGCAACATTTTGAAACAGAGGCTGGAGAGTGTGCAGAGCAGAGGTGGGCAACTATAAGGACTTTAGGACCTGTGGACTTCAACTCCCAGAATTCCTGAGCCAGCCATGGCTGGCTCAGGAATTCTGGGAGTTGAAGTCCACAGGTCCTAAAGTCGTTATAGCCGCCCACCTCCGCTGCAGAGGGTCCGCCTACATGACCTCTAAAGTCCCTTGCAATTCTAGAAGCGGGCAAGGAAGAAGAGGTGCAGAACTACCGTTCCATGCAAAAAAGGAAGCCTCTCCTCCTTTCAGCGAGGGAGCGGGTGCTGCCACCTGAGGCCGTTTCCCCTTAAGAGCCACGCACCGGTTCCAGGTTGGGCCCCTGATCCTCCCTAGCCCTGGAGCCCCGAGGCTCCGCTCCTTGCCCCTGCCAGCGCTCCGGGCTCTCTGCGGCCAGCCGGGCCTGCACCCCGCAAAAGCCCTTCTGCAACCGCGGGCTGCAGCTGTTTGCACCAGTCTCCAGGTGACTGCAATGCCTGGCAAGTGGCGGGCAGGCAGCTGCACCCGGAAACCCTGGCCCAAGCAAGCTTTCGGGCGGGGCGAGGCGAGGACGGGGCCGCTCCTGTCCGGAGAGCCGCTCTCCTTATTGCAAAGCGTGCAGAAGCCACGCGCGGCGGATCCACGAGCCACTTACGCCTCGTCCTGCTGTTGCAGAGCCCGGCAGAGGTGCGCCGCCAGCTGCAAGGCGCTGTGCTTCATGGCGCCGCTAGAGGGCGGCCGCGCGGAAGGGAAGGGCGCACCTGCGCTGGGCCGGGCCTGGCGCGCATGCGCGCTTCTGCCCCAGCGGGCAGAGCGGCGTCTTACGTCGCCTCCCGGAGGCGGCGGAGCGGAACGGAACGGAGCGGCCGTTCCGCTGAGGTCGCCCTGAGGCGGGCGAGGACAGTCGCGTCAGCGCGTGCCGGCCCGACGGAGCGAACTCATCCCGGTTGACGGCCATAGAGATTGCAAAGCTGCAAAATCAACACGGCGCCGCCATCTTCTTCCCGTCGCTTGAAGCTTCCCTCCCAGCCTCCTCGGAGTTTTTCATTGGAAGGCCGCAGCGATACGTCGTCGTCCTGACGGATCGCTTACCTATCCAATGGGAAGAACGCAGGCTTGCGCGGATTGGTTTTAGAATCACGATACTACCCCCTCCGTTCCTTCCCCCGCCTATTTCCTGGACAGATTCAGATAGGATTGGCTCACGTGAGTTGATTGACGGCTCAGTCAGGTTTCTGTTTAATTCTCCCTTAATCTTATGTAGGATTTCGTGGAAAATGAAATCAGGAAGACTTAAACCTGTCTCCATTTTGCTTTGACATGCATTTGGGTTCACACGCTTATTTGAACTGGGATTTCTTGTTTTTCATGCTGCAAACTTCAGTTTCCTGTTTGCATTTGTTAACCAATTAACTGCTTCACCCTTATTAAACCTGCATGGGAAGCATTAGTTCAGTGGTTCTCCACCTGTGGGTTGGAACCCCATTTGGGGTCGAACGACCATTTCACGGGGGTCGCCAAACAAGGCTGTCCGCCATTTTTTTCCCCTTTGGCCACGCCCCTGGCACCCGGTGATGTATAAGTGGTTGGGGGGGTCACCACAACATGGGGAACTGTATTATGGGGTCGCGGCATTAGAAAGGTTGAGAACCACTGCATTAGTTGCAACCAAGGAATTCTAATATAAACTTGCTGGTCTTGGAGATTTGCAACCGCAGCCTAAACCGGTTTCTGGTTCTCAGCCACTGGAGGATGGGTGGACTTCAATTCCCAGAATTCATGCTGGTTGGGGAATCCTGGGAGTTGAAGTCCACAAGTCATCCAAGGGCCAAGTTTGAAGACTCCTGCTTTAGATGAAAATTTAAAAAAAATTGTCTTCCTTAGTAGCAGTTTACTTAAGAGTCCTCAGTTTACAGCCACAATTGAGGCCAACAAAAGGGGGCATCACACAGCCCAGGAGAGACACTGCAATCGTCATACGTGAGTCAGCTGCCAAATGTCTGAACATTGATCAGGTGACCACAGGAGATGCTGTGGCAGTCCTAAGCGTGGTCAACGGTCATAAGCCTCTTTTTTTTCTTTGAATAGTCACTAAAGAAAGCGTTGTGAGCCAAGGGCTACCTATGCTGGGCAGTCAGACACCCTGAGAAATTAGGATGCAATTTCCGTCATTTTTCAGGAGCCAGGCCGAACCGGACTCCCTCCCCTGTAGGAATGGGGCCATCTGTGCAGGAGCTGCCTTCCGTCCTCAGAAGGCCCCCCCCCCCCGGATTTGAGGAAAGCTGCCCCCCACAGCACCAACCCCAGCTGGCAAGAGAGGCCGAGGGGAATCTGAGGATGTGCAGAGTGCCGTTTACACAAGGCTGCAACTGGACAACGGGCAACCCTCCAGTGTACCACTAGCAGACCACATTGCATTCATGCAGTCTGGTGAATTTATGCATTGTGTGGACCGCCTGGGGGGGGGGAGCTGCCTTAAGTCCCTGCGAGTTGGGTGGCCTTATAAATTAAGACAGAAATAAAACATACCAGCTGTGAGTTGCCCATTCTATGTTGGCATCTTCCATTAATGTAACAGAACAGAAGGGACCTTGGAGGTCTTCTAGTCCAACCCCGTTCAGGCAGGAGACCTCAGACCAGTGATGACAAACCTTTTAGAGACCAGGTGCCCAAACTGCAACCCAAAACCCACTTATTTATCGCAAAGTGCCAGGGCTGCATCAGCATTGTGGTGCCCTCAGGGGGTGTGGCCCACTAGGTGGGCATGGCTGCAGTGGTCACGGCAGACTGGGTGAGCGTGGCCAGGGCCAGGGCAGCAGGGGCCAGTCCCTTGCCATCTCTGGGGCATCCCCGGGGGGCCAACACTGCTTGCTCGCTCACTTCCTGCCCTGTTGCTTCCAAACACCATGTGCTTGCTACTCTGGCGAACTCTGGTGGGGCAATGGCACGCGTGCCCACAGAGAAGGCTCTGAGTGCTGCCTCTGGCACACATGCCATAGGTTCGCCACCACTGCCTTAGACCATTTCAGATAAACAGCTGTCCAGCCTCTTCAAAGTCTTCAGGGAGAGGAGTGTTGTGATTCCTTGCCAGCCAGTGGATTCGGGAGCTGAGTCTGAGGAATCAGAGGAGGAGGAGGGGCCTGGAGTGACATCAGTCAGAGGAAGACTCTGAGGAACTCCAAGACTTACAGTCGGACGAGGAGCCTGGCCCCTCTACTCGAGCTCAGGCTGAGACATAGCTGTGCTGGGAGCCTGAGTTGGACAGTGATGAAGAACAGCTAGGACAAATCCCGATGCACGAAAGCGCAGGCAAGAGAAGCGAGTAGGACAGAGGAATGCAATGGGGCAGCTCCAAAGGCAAAGGAGAAGGCATTAGGAAGCCACGCCTTGGCTGAATTATAAAAGGGAAGGTGTGGGAGGCAACCATTTGTGTTGAGGATCGGGTTTCTGTGGACTGTGTTTGCTTGCCTTGGACATTAACTCAAGTCTTTGAATCATAAAAGGAGTTGGTTTTTTCTTGCGGTTCCTGCCTGTTTTTTGGAAGAGGGGTTTCTCCTTGTGAGCACAACAAGGGCTCACGTAGGCTGGGACAGAACAGGGAGAATCTGCACAACTTCTGGAGAGAGACAAGGCGTCCCACTGGTTAATTTATTTCCCTGGAGTCAACATGTTACAGGAACGGTTCTCAACCTGTGGGCCGCGACCCCTTTGGGGGTCGAACGACCCTTTCACAGAGGTTGCCTAAGACCATCGGAAAACACATATTTCTGATGGTCTTAGGAACCTGTCTTGCTTTCAACTCCCCCTAAAATTCTTCATTCAGGCACGCTTCCAGAGTTCGGCCGGCAGGATGTCCTGCTGCCTCCCATGGCACCACGCCACTCCGTATCCCGCGCCTCAAGCCTCCGTGGCACAGAACCGCTGGCATGGTCCCCAATGGCCACTGACGCGCTTCCCGCCGCCGGCGACCATGCAAGCCCTGGCAATTGCTCCAGCCGAAGAAGCGGGTGGCTGGGAGGCCACTGCACCGATCTTCTGAGCCCGTTAGCTGGCGACCCCCTGAATGTGCGCTTGTCAGCTGGGAGGTCTGGCGACCGAGCCGGCCGGCGTGGAGGGCAATGGGGAGGTGGCAGCTCGGTGAGCGGGTTTCTGCCACCCTGCGAATGTCGGGCCCACGGGGCTCGACAAGAGTCAACGGTCCAACATAACGTCCCTCCTCGGATGAGAAAGAAGGAATCTCTCCTGCCCATGTCCCTTCCCCCCCCTCAAGTGACAACAGGAGGTTGCAGACAACTAAGTCAGCCGGTGCAGGAAGGCCTGGAATGGCCAGTCCAGGGCGCCTGGTTGCAGTGCTGGATGTCTTTTGCTCCTCCTAGAAGCCGGTGGCAAGAGAAAGAAGTCATTCAAACTTCAAGCTAGCTATTGGACGCCTATTCGCACTCCCCCCCTTTTTTTTGAGTACTTGTCTGCCAACCCACCCCATCTGTAAAAGTCTTCCACCCAAGCATAACTTTTAAGGATTTTCTTTGAGAAGGAGCGAGGGAGAGAGAAATAGAGAGAGGGAGAGAAAGAGGGAAAGAATAATAGAGAGAGGGAGATAGAGACAGAGAGGGAGAGAGTGAGTGATGGAGAGAGAGAAAGTGAGAGAGGAGACGGAGAGAAAGGGAGAGAGTAATAGAGGGAAAGGGAGGGAGAGAAAAGGAGAAAGAGGGAGAGAGAAATAGGGCGGAGAGAAAGAGGGAGAGAGAGATTAAATTACCGTATTTTCCAGTGTATAAGACAAGTCTGCGTATAAGACGTCCCCCGACTTCGGAGCCGATTTGCATGCTTTAGAAAGTCGTCTTATACGCCGGAAAATACAGTAGTAACATGGTTGTTAAGTGAATCTGGTTTTCCCCATTAACATTGCTTGTCAGAAGACTGCAAAAGGCGATCACGTGACCCTGGAACAATGTGACCATCATAAATATGAATCAGTTGCCAAGCATCGAAATATAAATCACATGACCCTGGGGATGCTGCAACGGTCATAAGTGTGAAAAATGCTCAGGTCATTTTTTTCAGTGCCCTTGTAACTCTGAACAGTCACTAAGCAAACTGTTGTAAATCAAGGACTACCTGTATTTTATCACTTTTTTCCATTTGTAACAATGCAAATACATCCTGCATATCAGATATTGACATTACGATTCATACCAGTAGCAAAATCACAGTTATGAAGTAGCAACGAAAATAATTTTATGGTTGGGGGTCACCACAACATGAGGAACTGTATTAAAGGGTCGCGGCATTAGGAAGGTTGAGAACCACTGTGTTACAGGAAGCCAAGCAGGGGCAAAGTTCACCTGAGCACGTTATGAAAACCCAGCTCTGTGCTTGTCATGGACCACAAGAGGCCGGAGAAATCAGGAACTCAAAGGCTATAGAGGTAGACCTTGACTTACGACCACAGGGGACCAGAATTCCTGTCTTAAGTATTTCTGAGTCGAATCTGATTTTATCCCCATTTTTACAACATGGTGGCAATTCATTAAGTGAATTACCACGGTGATTAAGCCAGCACCGCCGTCGTAAGTGCAAACCCATTCTGATGGGCATTTTTCTCTTTCTGCCAAAAACAGGCAAAAAAACTGATCAATCTCCAGCAGGGGACTGCAAGACACTACAACGGTTGTAAAAGCGAGACGGTTGCCAATTGCAATCGTGCCGCCACAACGCTCTTCAACGGTCCTAAGTGCGAGGACCGGGCCTTTTTTTCAGCACCGTCATAACTTAGAAACGCATGTCCGTAAGTCAGGGACTACTGTAAAGTAGCCGGGAGTCCCTGGGTGAGGCCAGGCGCACGTCTGGAGAAGCGGAAGAAGACCAGAGTCTCTCGCCAAAAGATTTTGCAAACTGTACTGGAATTCAGCTGAGCAACACGGGGTTCCCTCAAGGGGAAACAGACCCGACTCGCAGGAAGGTTAAATCACATTTTTTAATCAACTGACCTTCGACCTCCCCACCCCAAGGCCTTTAATTCCCCAAGAAGCAGTTTCCAGTGAAAGGGGTCTCCTTTCATCTTTTGGGGGGGGGGATTCCCAACCCCCTGGCCAGGAAGGTTACAAAGAAAACAGAGGACCTCACCCGGTGTGTGCGTGTGTGTGTGTATGTGTGTGTATCTTCCTCAGAGCCCTCTCGCTGGCCAACAAGGACCTGGCTGCTCCCCCCATCTCGGGGGTCCGTCTCCCTGCTTCGCCCCCCCCCCCCAGCCGGCTCCCCCCCAATCCGGAGGGTCACACCACGGCCTCAATCTCGGGCGCCCCCTCCTCGTCCTCCAGCATGCTGTAGGAAGCGTGGGCCTGGAAGGGCCGCTGGAGGGGGTGGGCCAGCAGCTTGGCCATGCAGTTGTGCAGCTCCACGGCCGGCCCGCTCAGGGAGACCTCGTATTTGTAGTTGGTGCCCTTGGCGTCCAGGTTGCTGAAGAAGGCGAAGGTCTCCTGGGGAGGAGAAGAGGGGTGTGGTGGGGGAGGGGGAGAAGAGGGGAGGACATGCAGGTGAGGAGACTGGCTTTGCTCCTGGCCCACGACTGGGAAAGGTCTCCCTCGCTAACCTCCAGGACTGGAAGCTTGGATCCTGTCGCTCAACAAGCTACACCCGGGTTGAAGCACGTTGCACACATTTAAGACTTGTGGACTCCCAGAATTCTCCCAGGAGAAAGGGAGGAAGATGGAAGGAAGGAAGAAAGAAAAGTGAGGGAGGGAGGGAAAGGAGGGAGGGAGGAAGAAAAGGGAGGAAAAGAGGGAAAAGGGAGGGAGGAGGAAGGAAGGGAGGAAAGAAGGAAGGAAGGAGAAAATGGAGTGAGGGAGGGAGGGAAGATGGGAGGAAGGAAGGGAAAAGGAAGAAAGGAAGAAGAAGAGGGAGGAAGGAAGGGAAGGAACAAGGAAGGAAGGAAGGAAAAAAAGGAGGGAGGGAGGGAGGAAGAAAGAAAGGGAAAAGGGAGGAAGAAGGAAGGAAGGGAAGCAACAAGGAAGGAAGGAAGGAAGGAGAAAAGGGAGGGAGGGAGGAAGAAGGAAGGGAGGGAGGAAAGAAGGAAGGAGAAAATGGAGTGAGGGAGGGAGGGAAGATGGGAGGGAGGGAGGAAGGAGAGGAAGGAAGGGAAAAGGGAGGAAGAAAGGAAGGGAAAAAGGAGGAAGAAGGAAGGGAAGGAAGGAGAAAAGGGAGGAAGAAGAAGGGAGGGAGGAAGGAAGGAGAAGAGGAAGGGAGGGAGGGAGGGAGGGAGGGAGGAAGGAAGGAAGGAAGGAAGGAAGGAAGGAAGGAAGGAAGGAAGGAAGGAAGGAAGGAAGGAAGGAAGGAAGGAAGGAATAGACAGAAATAAAAACCCAAAGGGCAAATGGCTGCAAGTGGTTGTGTCAAAAGCCCACATCCCCCTTTAAAGAAAGAGGAGCCATTTTTCAATGCTATTATTTCTATAGCTCAATCTGGGCCGGGGTGGGGGAGGGAACGCTAGCTGGGGAATGCTGGGAGTTGAAGTCCACAAGTCTCAAATTGGCCCAGCTTGGTCCGAAGTCCGAATGAAAATCAAACCAAGAGAAGCCAGCTGCGGTTTTACCTTCCAGGCGGTCTCCTCCTCCTTGTCCTCCAGACCATTGTGGATGTAGAGCACGTCAAAGAAGAAGTAAGGGCAGTGCAGCATTTTCTGTGGGGCGGGAGGGGAGAGCAGGGAGATCGGGGGGGGGGAGAGAATCTCAGCCCTTCAGCTGCCCCCCTTCCCCTCCCCCCATCCCTTTCCCCACAGCCAGCAGTAGGATCTCCTTTGTGCTTTACACGCCTTAATATTTTGCTTTTTCCATGAAATAAAACAGCATTGACTAGTCGTCTTCTTGGGCATCACGCCCTGTATTGGACTTTAAAAGGGCTCAAAACTATTGGCAGGGCACAGGGCCAATCTTAACCCCCACGTCCTAGCAAAGACCCCCCCCCCATTTTTATAAAGCCTTCGGAAGGCCACACCTGGAACACCTGCATCCAGTTTTGGTCACCACGTTACAAAAAAAGATGTTGCAAGTTTGGGAAAAATGCAAAGAAGAGCAACTAAGAGGATCAAAGGCCTGGAGGCTGAAACATACGAAGAACAGCTGTGGGATTTGGGAATGGCCAATCTAGAGAAAAGAAGGAGTGGGGGGGGACATGATAGCAGTGTTCCAATATGTGAGGGTCTCCAACAAAGAAGAGGGGGGGCCCACCTCTCCTCCAAAGCCCCTGAAGGCAGGACAAGAAGCAACGGATGGAAACTCATCAAGGAGAGAAGCAACCTGGAACTAAGGAGAAACTTCCTGACCGTGAGAACGATTAACCAGTGGAACTACCTACCTCCAGAAGGGGTGAATGCTCCAACACTGGAAGTTTTTAAGAAGAAACTGGACAGCCCTTTGTCCGAAATGGGTCTAGGGTCTCCTGCTTGAGCAGGGGGCTGGACTGGAAGACCTCCAGAGTCCTTTCCAACTCTGATATTTTGTAACTTTGATTTAAATATTGTTCCAAGAGTGTGGGGTGCCTGGGCGAACGCTCAGAAATGCTGGGGGGAGGGGAGGGGCTGGACTGGAAGACCTTCACGATCCCTTCCTGAATGAGAATATATTTGTCTATAAAGAAGGTAAATTTTCGAATAATATGTGTATTTTAGTTTTGTTAATTATATTGTAATGAAATGAGGGAAATCAAGGTGATCCGAAGTTTAAACATTGGTTATAAAAGGCTAAAGTGGAATATATAAATTGGAATTAAATAAAAACCTCTAAACAGGACTTGGATATATATATAAGTGAAATACTATTGATAAATGTACTGACTGATTGAGCCTATTAGAAACTTATCTACATGAATATGATGGAATATTTGAGGGAATCACTGAGGGAATAATAGTAGTAGTAGTAGTAGTAGTAGTAGTAGTAGTAATAATGATGATGATGATGATGATGATGATAAAGTTGGAAGGGGCCTTGGAGGTCATCTAGTCCAACCCCCTGCTTATTGATGTAACCTGAGATATATATGAATGATTTTGCTATTGATTGATTTCCCTAGCACCACGCTGCTTCCTAAGTACCTGGATGTTAAAATTTGAAAAATTAATAAAACCTATTGTTGTTTTTTTTAAAAAAAGATCCCTTCCCGCTCTATTCTGATGGATTGAGGATCCTTTGGATCGACTGACAACTCTCTCCCAGCAGAGTGCCTCCACCCTCTGTGGTAGGGCAATGCGGTTCCTGTCCTGTCAGAAAGCCAGAAACACACACACACACCACACACACATACACACACAGACCTGTATCTCCTAGAAATGGCTGCAGAATTCAAGAGATTCAAGAATTCTTTGCTGGGATCTGGAGATCCGTCTACCTGACACTCCGGGTGCTACTGAAAACTGTCTGTCTCCCTGCCTCCCCCCCCCCGCCCCCAAGAGCTGGGTCCTCGTGAGGTCAAGAAAGCGGGCACCTTCATCTGCTCGGTCAGCACGGCGGGGGGCTGGCAAGCCGGGCGGCTGTAGACCAAGATGGTCCTGACCACGTAAGGTGGAGGGATGCTCTGGACGTTCTCCGTGACCGGGAGCTCCGTCTTCTGCTGTCTGCGGAGAGGACGAGGAGAAGAGGCGGTGGGCACAGACGCCAGGCCTCCCCCCCGCCGCTGCCCCCTCCCCTCCCAGCCAGCACAGTCTGAGGACCAGAAGACACTAAGCCAGGGGTAGGCAACCTTGGCTCTTTTATGACTCGTGGACTTCCAACTCCCAGAATTCCTGAGTCAGCATGGGGGAACTATGGCCCCCTCATGACTCGTGGACTTCAACTCCCAGAATTCCTGAGCCAGCCTGGCTCAGCTTGGAAACCTCTCCCTTTCCCTTCAGCATGGCTGGCTCAGGAATTCTGGGAGTTGAAGTCCACGAGTCATAAAAGAGCCAAGGTTGCCGACCCCTGCACTAAGCAGAGGACATCAATGGTTGTTAAGTTGGGGACACCCCCCCCCAGATCGCCGTGCCTTGCGGGGGGAGGTCAAGACTCACATCAGGTTGAACAGGCCCTCCAGATCTGAACGGGAAAGGTTGAGGTCAACAGGACAGTTCTGGATCTTCTCCCCAGCCAGAGCAGCCCCCGGCAATGGGGGGGGGGAGGGAGGACTGGGGGCGGGCGGGAATTAAAAGGCAGTCCTTGGCCTACGACCGTGAACGAGCCCGCGGTTTCCACTTCTAATCGAGACAGTCGCTCGGCGAGTTTTGCCTCGCTTTACGACGTTCCTTGTTAAGTGGATCCCCGCGGTGGTTAAGCGAGGAGCACTTTGCTCGCTGGAAGGCGGGCCCAGGGGATCACATGACCCCTGCCACCCGTCATAGGTACATGCCAGTTTCCCAGCATTTGCGTTTTGGTCACGTGACCAGGGGGAAGTCGCGGCGGTCATTAAATGTGAAAAACGGTCACACCTCCACTTTTTCGGTGCCTTTGTGACCTCACATGAACAGTCGTAAACCGAGGACTGCCTGTATAGCCCCAGCAAGGTGGGGGTGGCTATGTGAAGACCCCCTCCCATTTCTTAACCCTCCCAGGGCGCCCTCCCCACGCTTCCTCCGTCACAGAACCGGGAACTGCATTCCCTTCCCAATGACTCTGGAGAATGTCCCAGAGCCTCCTGCCGGGCCAGATGCGAATTCTGCCCGGGGCCCAGGCCGGCCCTGCCCTGCCCTCGCCAGGCCCCCGTGTTGGGAGCTCTCCCGCCAGGCAAGAAGTAGGAACCCCAGACCAGGGTGGATTGGACTCGAGAGACTAGCAGCCGTCTCTTTCAAGCACGTCCTGTTTTTCTCCCGCCTCTCCTTCCGAATCGGATCAGGATTTGGGGGGGGGCTCCCTACCAGAGGTCAAACACCCCCCCCCGTCTCCCACCCCTGGGGGGGCTCCCCATTGGGAAAGGATACTGAAGGATTTGCAGAGGACGGTCTTCAGGTCGTACAAGCAGCTGCAGACTTCCCGGGGTTCGGACGTAAAGCCGGAGAGCTGTGGAGAGGAGAAGGAGGAGGAGGAGCAGGAGGAGCAGGAGGAGGAAGAGGAGGAGGAGGAGGAAGAGGAGCAGGAAGAGGAGGAGGAGGAAGAGGATCAGGAAGAGGAGGAGCAGGAGGAAGAGGAGGAAGGAGGAGGAGGAAGGAGGAGGAAGGAGGGAAGAGGAGGGAGGAAGAGGAGAGAGAGGAGGAAGGAGGAAGAGGAGGAGGAGGAAGAGGAGAGGAAGAGGGAGGAGAAGGAGGAGGAGGAAGAGGAGGAGCAGGAGGAGGAGGAGGAAGAGAGAGGAGGAGGGAGGAGGGAGGAAGAGAGGAAGAGGAGCAGAGAGAGAGAGGAGCAGGAGGAGGAGAAGAGGAGCAGGAAGAGGAGGCAGGAGGAAGAGGAGGAGGAAGAGGAGGAAGAGGAGGAGGAGGAAGAGGAGGAGAAGGAAGAGGAGGAGGAGGAAGAGGAGGAGGAAGAGGAGGAGGAGCAGGAGGAAGAGGAGCAGGAAGAGGAGGAGGAGAAGGAAGAGGAGGAGCAGGAGGAAGAGGAGGAGGAAGAGGAGGAGAAGGAAGAGGAGGAGGAAGAGGAGGAGAAGAGGAGGAGGAGGAGCAGGAGGAAGAGGAGGAGGAAGAGGAAGAGGAGGAGGCCGGTTAGATTAACAGGGATCACAGGCAGTCCTTGGCTTACGACAGAAATTGAGCCTGGAATGGTGGCCGCGAGCCATGTTGGCCGTTAAGCGGGTCACCACGTGAGTGCACCACATTTTACGGCCCTTTTTTCTGGTGGTCCTGAAGTGAGTCGCCAGAGTCATGCAGGCGCAGTCCCGTCCGCCAGGCGTGCCCCTTTTGGCCAGAAAACAGAAGCAAAAATGCCAATTTCTGGGGGGAGACAATGTCGTAAACCGCAGTTGTGCAACTGCGGGGTGCTGCAAAATGGCCGCCAACGCAGCCCCAAAATTTCTGCTGAGACGTTTGTTAAGTGAGCTTCTGCCCCATTTTACGACTCCGCCTGCCTCAGCTACTAAGCCAGTGGTTCTCAACCTTTTTAATGCCGTGACCCCCAACTAGTCGTAAATCAAGGACTACTCAACCGGTCATAAGTCGAGGACTACTCAACGGGTGCAGCACCGTTTGCAGAATGGGACTTTTGGCGGGCTCAGCAGGGCAGAGACAGCCTGGACAATTGCTATTGGCTTTGGAAAGCCAATAGAATTAGACTCTATTCAAGAGAGTCTCTTCTATTGGCTTTCAAAAGCCAATAGAATAAAAGGGAGTAGCACAGCTAAGGAAAAGGGGGAAAAAATGGCGGACTGCGTTGTTTGGAGACCCCCGTGAAATGGTCGTTCGACCCCAAATGGGGTCCTGACCCACAGGTTGAGAACCACTGTACTAAGCGAATCTGTGCCCTTGATAAGTTAGCAACCCGGTTGTTAAGTTGTGAACCCGGATTCCCCGTTGACTTTGCTCGTCAGAAAGTCATCAAAGGGGGTCACGGGACCCCCCCCCCAGGAAACGCTGCGACCGTCATAACTACGAGTCAGCTGCCAAGCATCTGAATTTTGATCACGTGACCATGGGGCAGGGGTAGGCAACCTCGGCTCTTTTATGACTCGTGGACTTCAACTACGGCCGTGTGAAAAACAGGTCCTAAGTTGCTTTTTTCGCTGCCGTTGTGACTTTAAATGGCCACTAAACAGTCGTAAGTCGAGGAGCGCCTGTGTTTGAAAACCAAAAGCCGGAGCAGGAGCCGTTGGCCGAGGGTCCTGCGTCCGGCCTCTGCCCAAGCTGGCCTCTTCCGGCTACATCCACGGACTCAGCAGGGGGAAGGCCGCACGTGAATGTGAGCTGCCCTGTCATATTGTTCATATTCATATTATTAGATCACATGCATGAGATTTTGCCCTGTTTATGTAATGCATGTGGGAGGCGGTGACCTTTTCAGAGCTGATTGCGCTGAAATTTCATTTTAATATATGCTGATTAGTGTACATTTAAACGACAATAAAGTTATTATTCTATTCTATTTATATTTCTATTCTAATTATTCTATTTTAATTATTCTGTTCTATTCTCTAGTCTATCCTATTCTATACTAATTATTCTATTCTATTCTCTATTCTATTCTTTATTCTATTCTAATTCTAATTCTATTCTATTCTAATTCCTATTCCTATTATTTCTTATTCTATTCTATTCTTATTCTAATTCCTATTTCTTATTCTATTCTATTCTATTATTCTAATTCCTATTCCTATTATTTCTTATTCTATTCTATTCTCTATTCTATTCTTTATTCTATTCTAATTCTAATTCTATTCTATTCTAATTCCTATTCCTATTATTTCTTATTCTATTCTATTCTATTCTATTCTATTCTATTCTATTCTATTCTATTCTATTCTATTCTATTCTATTCTATTCTATTCTCTGTTCTGTTCTGTTCATCAGTTGAACAACTTCCCTCCAGAAGTTGTGAATGCTCCAACACTGGAAGTTTTAAAGGAGAGGAGAGAATGGACAACCACTTGTCTGAAATGGTATAAGGATTCCTGCCTAAGCAGGGGGTTGGACTAGAAGACCTCCAAGGGCCCTTCCAATTCTCTTATTCTAATTCTTATTCCACACCAGCCAATCTTCCGGGGGGGGGAGGAAGTCCCCACCAGGAATCCCCCTGATATGGGTTCAGAAATTTATTTATTTATTTATTTATGAGTTATATACCGCTTTAAGTGCAAGCACTCTCTGAAATCAAGAAATCAAGCGAGGCCGAAGCCAAACCGCAACATCTGGGCTTATGGCAACGTGTGAAGCCCTCTCCGCCGCAGAGGTCCACGGTGGAACAGCAGGGAAGCCTTGGCAGAGGAGCAGCCGCGGGCACATGGCCGGGCAATGCCAATCTGGGCGTAAACGGGGCACCGAACGCAGGGAAGGACCCCCGGGGGTGTGGGGGCGGGAGACACACACACACACACACAAGCGTACCCATGTGACGTCGTTGTTCACCACCACCAGCGCAAACTCGTGGCTCTTGTCAATCTTGTGTTTGGTGCGGACAAACATCTCGATCATCTTCTGGGATATGTTGAGGGCGTTGGTCTTCAGCCTGCCCAGAGGGGAAATAAGGAAAAAGAAAGAGAAAGGAAGGAAGGAAGGAAAGAAAGGAAAAGGAGAGGAAGGAAGCAAAAGAGAGGGAGGAGGAGAGGATGAGGAGGCCAGTGAGGAAGCACCGCCAAGGGAAGGCGGGTCAAAGCCCCTGCAGAGGAGCCCCGGGCATCCCCCCCTCCAGAAACCTAACTCCAGAGGGGGCAAGGCCTGCCTCACGAGGAGACATCCATCTGAATTCCTTTCTGTTCAGCCAAGGGGACTAGAACCTTGATGGCAGGCCTTGGCAGCATCCCAGACGAGGCTGAGATGACACCCCCTTCCGCCCAAAGGCGGGAGGGCCACAGCAAGGACCGAAAGACAAGCCAGGTTTGTCCTCCCATCATCGGCCAGACCCCCTCCCCTTCAAAACCAGAGAAAGCCCCCACGGAGGAGGAGGAGCTGCTGGTCCCCCAGAAGCCGGCCGAGGGCCCCCTCCCCAAAAAAGATTCCTCTGGCTCACCCGTTGAAGGATTCCAGCCTGGGGTGGGACATTTCCTCCGAGAGATCCAGACAGATGATCTGGGGTAGAGAAGGGAATTAAAACACGGACGTGATCCCTCCCGTTCCCTCCTCCGTCCATCTATCCATGTCTGTTAAACCTTCTTTTCCCTCCCAATTTTCCTTGTTTTATTCCTTTTTATTCAGATACGGTTAACCCAAGGGTAGGCCGCCTTGGCTCTTTTATGACAGGTGGACCAACTCCCAGAATTCCTGAGCCAGCCATGCTGAGGAGAAAGGAAGAGGTTTCCAAGCTGAGCCATGCCGGCTGAGGAATTCTGGGAGTTGAAGTCCCTGAGTCATGAGGGGGCCATATTCCCCCATGCTGGCTCGGGACTTCTGGGAGAGGAAGTCCACGAGCCATGAAGGGGCCACAGTTCCCCCATGCTGGCTCAGGAATTCTGGGAGCTGAAGTCCACGAGTCATGAGGGGGCCATAGTTCCCCCATGCTGGCTGAGGAATTCTGGGAGTTGAAGTCCAGGAGTCACGAAGGGGCCATAGTTCCTCCATGCTGGCTCAGGAATTCTGGGAGTTGAAATGCACGAGCCATGAGGGGGCCATAGTTCCTCCATGCTAGCTCAGGAATTCTGGGAGTTGAAGTCCACGAGTCATGAAGGGGCCATAGTTCCCCCATGCTGGCTCAGGAATTCTGGGAGTTGAAGTCCACGAGTCATAAAAGAGCCAAGGTTGCCTATCCGTGGGTGACACGGTGTGTGTGCGACAAAAAATGGGTCAATCCGTACACAGATGGAGAAGCCATGGGGGTCCCGGGGGGGGGCATGTTGGTCAGGTCTGCCTCCACTCACCACTTTCTCCGGGCAGTTCACCCGCGGCGTCCGGACCTGGAACTCGGCGGGAGGGGCCGGGGCCAGCCAGGTCTTGCCGTTGGGGGCCTGGACGGCAGAGCTGGGGGGGCTGGTGGTGGTGCTGGCCGCCTCCCCCTCCCCTTCGCTTCGACTCCCCACGCTGGCCTGCAGGCTGAGGGTGCGGTCCTCAGCCCCCTCTGGGTTGGACCGGGTCCTGGGTCGCTGCTCGGAGGCCATTTCCTCCTCCTCCTCCGTCGCGCTGTTGGTCTCCGAGGTGTCCATCCAAGTCCCACCCGCTGGGGGCGAGTCCAGGATTGCCGGACGCCCACCGGGAGAGTGACACAATTGGGAGGGAGGGGGTTCTGACAATCCTCCCTTTCGGGAACGGACACAGCAAAGAGATTGTAAACATGTACAGTTCTATACATATTTGTCTAGTCACACAGGGGTAGGCAACCTTGGCTCTTTTATGACTCGTGGACTTCAACTCCCAGAATTCCTGAGCCAGCATAGCTGGCTCAGGAATTCTGGGAGTTGAAGTCCACGAGTCATAAAAGAGCCAAGGTTGCCTACCCCTGGTCTAGTGCAAACATTATTCCAAAAGGTACATATTTGTAATACATTTATATGATATTGACATCATTTTTTTTCTCGCTCATATTTCTTTTTTGTTAAACATTTTTTTTCCTCTTACCCCCCCCCCCATTTCAGAATGTAATATAACCACTATTATCTTTGTGTTTTGGTCCTTTCTTCCTCTTTTTTTTTGTTATTAATTATAAACATAACCTCAGACAGGCACAGAAATGGGAGTTCAGAGTGCAACCGCTTTCATGGAAGTTTTCAAGCTTGCCAACTTTAATTGTGAATTTATTAAATTATTATTAGAACAATTAACCAGTGGAACAACCTGCCCCCAGAAGCGGTGAATGCTCCAACACTGGAAGTTTTTAAGAAGAGACTGGACAGCCATTTGTCCGAAATGGTATAGGCCAGGGTTTCCTGCCTGAGCAGGGGGTTGGACTAGATGACCTCCAAGGTCCCTTCCAACATCATCATTATTATTAATTATTATTATTAATTTATATGCTGCCCGTCTCAGTCTAAATAAGGCCTCTTCTTGAATTCTGGGGAGGGTGGAAGCCCACCCCTCTTCAAAAGGTCAAGATTCAAAGCCGCTGATCCAAGGCAAGGTGGCTTCCCGATCTGTAGCCCGATTAGGCTTTCCATGCTGGTTGGGGATTCTGGGAACTGGTGCTCCACCACCACAACCCTCAACAGGCAGAAGTCACAACTGGCAACTAACTGTGCAAGACTCAGGAGTTCTGACCAACTGGGCCTGCCCACTGTCTACTCCAGGGTCTCCAACTCGGCCACTTTAAAACTTGTGGACTTCAACTCCCAGAATTCCCCAGCCAGTTTTGGGAGTTGAAGTCCACAGGTCTTAAAAGACCCCAGATGAGACTTTTTGGGGTCTTCAGATGCACTTTCTCCATTTAGGGATCCCCCTGTTAGCCCCTCGACTGCATCCCTCCTCCTTAAGAGAGGAGGATGAGGAAGGGGTGACACAGAGCAAGGCTCTTCCGCCGCCCCCATCCCCCCATCCTGAGCCTGGTGATTGAATAGAATAAAGCTGGAAGGGACCTCGGAGGTCTTCTAGTCCAGCCCCCTGCTCAAGCAGGAGACCCTAGACCACTTCAGACAAGTGGCTGTCTAGTAGTCAAATGGGTCTGGGGTCCCCGATTGACCGAAACCCCCAATTAATCTGCAGTTCTGGAGGAGCGATGCCAACCTTCTGGGCAGTGGGGGGAGCTGCAGCCTCTCCTCCTCGGGGGGCTTCTGGGCAGACCCCCGCCTGGCGCAGCCACGATGCCCGGAGCGAGACGGGTCCGGCGGCGCGTCTTCTGCAAAGGGGAACCCGGGCTCAGCAAAGCCCGCTCCCCTCTTTCCAACGGGACGCCCCGCCCTCCCCCTCTGCTTGCGAGGACCCGGACCCCCGCCCCGCCCAGCCTCCCCGCCTTGCGCGCGCCGGGCCCGCGGGCGCCGGGTTGCAAAGCCAGGGAGCGCCGGGCAGGGACCCAGGCAGCCCCCGCCGCCCCTTTGCAAGCCCCCCGCCCGCCCGCCCCTCCCTCCACGCACCTGGGACCCGCGGAGCCCAGCGCCGCAGAAGAGGGGGCCGGAAGGGGGGATGGGAAAAAAAAAAAGCAGCCGTCCCCGCAAGGGCTGCCGGGACTTGTAGTTTCCGCGCGAGCGATGGCCGGAAGACGCCGGGGGAGGGGGAGCCAGGGAGGGGCGGGGCCTGCTCGGGGGCGGGAGAGGCTTCTTTGCGGAGTTACTCTGTCCGCCTTGCCGGAGCTTCTCCGCTCTCTTCCTCCGCAAAAGCCGCTTCTGACTTCGCTTGCGAGCCCCGTTTCTCCACCGCGGCCCCTTTAAGGGGAGGCCTGGACTTCAACTCCCAGAATTCCCCAGCAGGCGTTTCCCCTCCCCGCCCCGATTGAGCTATAGCGATCATTGCTTTGAAAAACGGCCCCCGCTTTGTGTCTACGGGGATTGTAGACTTTTGGCAGACTCGTCTGTGGACATCTGCCTTCCCTTCCCTTCCTTCCTTCCTTCCTTCTTCTCTCTTTCCTTCCTTCCTTCCTTCCTCTCTTTCCTTCCTTCCCCTCTCTTTTCCTTCCTTCTTTTCCTCTTTTCCTTCCTTTCTTTTTCCTTCATTCCTTCCCTTCCTTCCCCTCTTTTGTTTCCTTCCACTTTCTTTCTTCCTTTCTCTTTCCTCCTTTCCTTCCCCTTTTGCTTCCTCTTTCCCTCTTTTCCTCCCTTCGCTTCTTCCTTCCTTTCTCTTCCTTCACCTCTTTTGCTTCCTTCCTCTTTCCCTTCTTTCTTTCCTTTCTCTTTTCTTCCTTCCTTCCCTTTCCTTCCTTCCCCTCTTTTCCTTCCTTCCTCTTTCCCTCTTTCCCTTTTCCTTCCTTTTTCTTCCTTTTTCCTTATTTCCTTTTCTTTTTCTTCCTTTCCTCCTTTCCTTTTTTTTTCTTTTCCTCTTCCTATTTTTTCTTTTTCCTTTCCTTCCTTATTTGCCTGCCTTCCTTCCTTCCTTCCTTCCTTCCTTCCTTCCTTCCTTCCTTCCTTCCTTCCTTTCATTTCTTCTTTCTTTTTCCTCGCAAGATTCGTTTTTCCCACCATTCAAATGTATACCTAACCCAAACTAGACGGTGTTGTCTAGTTTCCGAGCGCATCTCTTGGCACCCTCTTACTCGGCGGAAGAGCCTACTGCAACTCAGGGCTGGTCGTCAGGACTAGACGAAGCACCCTCCCAAAACATTACCGTGAGTATGGGGACAGGATTCTCTAAACCTCAGGTTGTGCACCTCTCAGAACTTAGGGAATTGACCAAGTCATCAATAATTGTTTTGAAAAACAATGGGAAAAATTTGCTGCTTCCCACTAAAGGGGATTTGATCCTCCTCTTAAAATATATATATCAAAATTGTCTTGTATATCCCGAAGGAGGATCCCTAAAAGTGTCGGTGTGGGTTAAATTGGGAAAGTATTTTCATGAACCTCCTCGAGCCCCTCCAAAAATTTTGTCTACATGGCGAATTGTTATTGAATGTCTCCAAATCCATGAAGATGCCATGAAAACAGAGAAGGGGAGGGTAGACCCCCCGCCTGCCTATAATTCTGAAAAGCCCGTAGACTCCCCGCCTGCCTATGACTCTGAAAAGCCCGTAGGCCCCCCGCCTGCCTATGACTCTGAAAAGCCCGATGATTTAAAAAAGGGACAGAGTGCAAAAGAAAAATCCTCCTTGGCCGTTTATCAAGCCGATGTGCCTTTTGAGGATGTGCCTTTTGAGCCGTCCGCGCCAATGAAGGAGGGAGGAAAAGAACAAAGGAGCATTAACGTGCTGCCTTCCCCTGCCAGCGCCATCTCCAGGGCACTGGCCGAAGCTCATGAAAAAGGGGAACTGCAACCTGAAGAATATCAATTTTGCGCGCCTGTTTTTATTGATCCAACCACAGGCAATCGCAGATATGAAACTATCCCCATGAAAACTATTAGAGAAATAAAACAAGCAGCATCAAGCTATGGGATTTCTAGCCATTATACCTTGGGTCTGATAGGTCACATGGCCTCTACCTTTTATTTGTTGCCTGAAGATTGGAAAGGGCTATTCCATATGATTTTAACGTTTTCACAATATGTGGTTTGGGAATCGGAATGGAAAAAAGAATGTCAAAAGATCGTTTTAGCTTGGCCGGGCCGTAATCAGCCAACAGTAGACCAGCTAACAGGGAATGGAAATTATAGTCACCTGGCCACTCAACAAGCCATGAATCCCTTGTTTTATTCTCATGCAGCCCTCGCCGCTCACGCTGCCCTGACTCGGGTCGATGATCCGCAGAGGGCAACAAAAGGCTCTTTTGTAAAGATTTTTCAAGGGTCTAATCAGCCCTATGGGGAATTTGTGGATCAGTTACAAAAGGCCATATCTAGGGAAATCACAAATGGAATAGCCCAAGAGGAATTGTTGAAAAAACCTGCCTTTGAAAATGCTAATGAGGACTGTAGACGGGTCCTGCAGCCCTTAATGAGCAAACCTGATGCAGGATTGGCAGACTATATTCAAGCCTGTAGAATTGTGGGGACCAATACATTTAACATGGAAACTTTGGCTATGGCCTTACAAAAAGCAGGAAGTAATAATGGGCAACCTGCGGGTAAAGCTGGTAACTGTTTTAATTGCGGGAAGCCTGGTCATTTTAAAAATCAGTGCCGGGCCCCAGGGGGGGTGCTAATAAAAGCAGGGGAGAGGGAGCCAGACCAAAAACCGTTTGCCCGCGCTGTAAAAAGGGGTTTCACTGGGCAAACCAGTGTCGCTCCAACCCTATGCCCGCTGATTCCCAGAAACCGGGAAACTAGAGCTGGGGCATTCAGCTAGCCCCGCCTCAAAGGCTGAATCTTATCATTTTGTCCTGGTGGCCTCCGAGACAATAACCACAGACGTATCCGTATCCGGGCTATCGTATTTTTTGCCAATCCGGCCGTCTGTCCCTTTTCCCCCTGATTGTGACACCCTTCTGTTAGTGTTTCCTCACCGTGACTTTATTATGCAGGGAGTAACGGCTATGCCATTTTTGAAAGACCCAGCTGACTTTACATCAGTCGCTTTGGCATTTACCCCTAACATTCCCATGACTGTGCTCAAGGGAACGATAGTGGCAATTGCCGTCCCTGTGCCCCAACAACCGCAAGTTTTGGCGATTGAGCAAGAAATTCAAAAGTTCCGCTCCTCTATGGCCTGTCAAGTCAACGGACGCTCCTTTTTTGGTATTCTAGATACCAGAGCTGACGTATCGGTCATAAGAGAGGAGGAGTGGCCCTCTGAGTGGCAGACCGACAGCGCACCGTCGGTTCGGGGAGTGGGAGGAGTCCAGCACGCACGCGTGAGCAAACACTGGCTTCCCGTGACCTCGGAAGAAACATCAGTCACTGCTCACATTAAACCTGTCATTCTTCCGCTTCATATTAATCTGTGGGGTCGGGACTTGATGAGTCAGTTCAATGCAAAATTAATTTTGGATTAAGATGTCTCAGTTAATAAAGTTAAACCTCTTGACTGACACCCCAGTTTGGGTGGATCAGTGGCCATTAACCAAAGAAAAATTAACCGCTCTGTTGCAATTGGTAGATCAACAATTAGAGTTAAAACGCATTGAACCCTCATTGAGTCCTTATAATACTCCGGTGTTTGTCATAAAGAAAAAATCTGGAAAATGGAGATTTTTGCACGATCTAAGAGTTGTCAATAAGATCATTCGCCCCATGGGGGGCGCTCCAATGCGGTTTACCTAATCCTAATTTGATACCAAAAGACTATGACCTGATGGTTATAGATCTAAAAGATGCATTTTTCTCTATTTCACTACACCCAGAGGACAAACACTTATTTGCCTTTACTGTGCCTGAAATGAATAACTCCAAGCCCACGGCCAAATATCAATGGACTGTCTTGCCTCAAGGGATGCAAAACAGTCCTACAATATGTCAATATGTTGTCAATCAGGTTTTAAGACCATATCGGGACAAGTTTCCTCATTTTAAAATTTACCATTATATGGATGATATTTTAGTGGCAGCTCCAGGACCCTCAGGTACGGTCTCAGCAACCTTGCCTGTTCTAACCTCCATTTTTCAAACAAATGGGTTTTTTATTTCGCCTGAAAAAATTCAGCTTAAACACCCCTTTCTGTACCTGGGCCACAAGCTTTTGGCCTCACATGCCGAGCCTCAGCTGTCTAAGTTGTGTCTTCCGCCATGCCTGACCTTAGTCCAACTTCAACAATATTTAGGATCAATTAATTGGGCCCGTCCCTATATGGGACTAACCACCTCTCAATTGGCTCCATTGTTCTCTGCTCTTACGCAGGGAAAAAATCCAGGAGATAAGATCGTGTTAACTCAACAACAACTTAAAACTTGTGACATCATTCAGCATGCATTGTCAAAAGTATGGGTCGATCGTGTTCAGCCCGATATGCCTTTTTCTATGTTAATTTTTAACACCGTTGACCTTCCTACGGCAGCTTTGGCTCAGATCGTGTCTAATATAAAAATGATGATTGTAGAATGGATCCACTTATCTCACACCCCGAAGAACACCATTTCACAGAAACATACGCTCTTTGCTCATCTTATAACAAAATCTCGCTTTAGGGCAAAGGCTTTAGGGGGTGTTGAACCGTCCTTTTTATATGTCCCTTGTTCGCTAACGGCTTGGGAAAGTTTGTTGGCCAACTATGAATCTTTGCAGCAAGCACTTGCTGATTGGCCAGGAGAAGTGTCTTGTCATCCACCATCAGATCCTCGCATTTTTTTATTAAAAACAGTCCCATTTAAATGGCAATCTCCTTGTGCTCCTTTCCCTTTAAAAGAAGCAATAACGGTGTGTGCCGACGGCAGCAAGACTCATGGAGCCTGTGCTTGGAAAGAGGAGGGGAAGTGGCGTACAAAAATCATCCCCCCACAGACGTCGGCTCAGCGCTCTGAGCTAGTGGCGGCCACGATGGCATTTTTTCATTTTAAAGATCAACCCTTTAATCTGATCCTGGACAGTTTATATGTTACCCAAATTGTCAAAACCATTTTTGACTCTTATTTGGCACCGAATGTCTCTATGGATCTGTTCACATTATTTTTGGACTTGCAACATCTCGTAAACGATCGCAAGCACCCATTTTTTGTTGCCCATATTCGTAGCCATCAGCCTTTTCCAGGCCCACTCCAAGAAGGCAATGATGTTGCCGATGCTGCCACCTCACAAACACCTCTTAATGTGCCACTCACCTTTTTAACCCCCTGGGAAAGTCATTCCTATTTCCATCAAAATAAGAAAGCATTAATCAAACAATTTAATCTTTCAGCTGCTGAAGCTGCTGCCATCGTTCAGCAATGTCCAACCTGTAGCAAGCAAGCACACTCAATACCACTTGGAGTAAATCCTCGTGGCTTGGAGAGCTGTCAAATTTGGCAAATGGATGTTACTCAATATCCTCCCTTTGCCCCGTGGAAACATCTTCATGTTTCTATTGATACATATTCTGGCTTCATTATGGCTTCCCCCATGTTTAGTGAGGCCACTAAACATGTTATCAATCACTGTATTCGGTCATTTGCATCGTTGGGACGCCCCAAAGAATTTAAGACAGACAACGGGCCTGCTTATATTAGCTCTGCTTTTGCAGAATTCTGTACAAAATGGTCCATTGTTCATAAGTTTGGCATTCCGTATAATAGCCAAGGTCAAGCCTTGGTTGAGCGAGCAAATCAAACATTAAAAACAGCTCTCAATCGATATTTAAATGAAAAGGGGAAAATTGCCCCTGGCCTCCCAGCAGTGCAAAACGCTCTTAACTTGTGTCTTTATACACTGAATTTTTTAAATCTGACGGGCGATCCATCATCAACAGCTGCCTCTCGTCATTTTTCAACAGTCCCTCCCCCTACGTCAAGACCTCCAGTTTACTATCGATGGCTTCCAGACCCCACGTGGAAAGGTCTTGCAGAGCTTATTACCTGGGGGAGAGGCTACACTGCGGTAGATGATCATGGCAAAATCATTTGGACTCCAGCTCGCTGTGTTCGTCCTTATTTGGTTCAATCTCCACCATCCTAACCAGACGTCGGACGACCATGAACCCTGGGCCCACAACTCTTTTATGAAAGATGTGCAGAATATTTCTCGTCTTTTGAACAAGACTGAGTGTTGGATGTGCATGCATATCCCAACCTTGGAGGAGGGGGGACTTTTTATGCATGCGGTGCCTTTTAATACAACTGGTTGGAAACAATTTCCCCGGTCTAGAGGGACCCTTTCCAATGCTATGCTGAATTATACGGTATACACAATAGGAAGCAGAATCCAGGAAAAAGCTGCGTTTTGTTGGGAATATAAGAACACCGTTAAAAACCCTGTTTTAGTAGGCAGATGCCCATATTGTGACGTCACATTTCAACTTTCAAACATGACTAGACCACATCCCTCTAAGAAAACTCCTCTTTTTGAATCCCTTGATGATTTTTCTGAATATATGTGTACCTATCAAATAACCGGATGCTCGCTATCAACAGGATGTCACCCCGGCAACACGGACACGATGTCTACACTCTTCCTTTGCAGTCTTGTAAGAGCCATGGTTCGCCAAACTGTGCAAAGTTCCAGCATGACTACAAATATATTAAGTAACGTCTGGATGCTTTGTGGCCGGCAGGCATATCAACGTATACCTCCACGGTGGTCCGGCCGTTGTACGTTGGGCTTTCTTGCTCCCTCAGTTTTTGTGTCAGATCAGCCACCTTCAGGCCGTTTGCGCAATCGAAGAGATCTTGAAAATGGCCTGGAAGGACCCGGCAATACAGGAACGCAAGTTGCACGATCTCTTATTCCATCTCTGGGGGTAGCCATGAATTACAGAGACATCTATGCATTAAATAACTGGACTAGGCACATGTTCAACGCTACCATTCAGACTACCAAATTGTTAAACAAGGAAGTGGCAGAAATACGAGAGATTGTTCTGCAAAATCGTTATGCTTTGGACATTATCCTTGCCTCGAAAGGAGGAGTATGTGCCTTAACCCATTCTCATTGTTGTGTTTATATCTCTGATTATAAAGCCAATATCACAGGTACCACTGAGCATATGGAAGACATGGTTCGCCATAATCCGTTACAATCCGACGGATCTGGCGCAATAAACATTTGGGATGCCCTATGGTCTTGGCTACCCGACGGAACCTGGCTGCGATCATTGGTTTCTGGTATTATAACTATTGTGGTTATTTTAGTTTTGATATGTTGTTGTATTCATGTTTGCCCTCTTTGTTTACGATGTTTAAAAATTTTCCCTCAGGAACTGTCACCCATCAACAGGTCAATTTAGTAACTACACCTATCACTGCAGTTCAGCAACCCCTGCTAGCCAAACCGGCCTTCACCTTGCCAAGCGACACTGAGGATGACTTCGTATAAAGCGCTCCCTCCTTATTTTAAATAAAACAGAAAAGGAGGAGATGTTATTCGATTATCTGGCCTGCTAGGCTGAGTCATCAGCTGCAGTAGGCCAAGGTATAAGGAAGTCGGAAGTCAAAACGTTCGGGAGAATACCAAGAAGTGCCGTGGTGCAAAGGAAGGTGTTTGGTGCGTTGTTGGTGCCGGGTGTAACAGCTGTATAGGGGCGTGAGCAAAACAAAGCTGTAGCACGTGTAATATGCTAATGTGCTGTGTTGTGACAGTGTGATTGGTGTGATGTGGTCACGAGGTGCATATAAACCCGCCTTCTGATAACGCAATAAAAGGGATGCTTCGGCTTTGTTCGGGGCTCCCATCCCGAGGAAACCCCGTGTTCGTGTCTGTTCTTCTACACTCATGGGAGACCCGCTGGGTGCGTGAAAACCCACAGTATATGTGGCTACATGCATAATTCTGTATTTATTTATTTTTGTCACATTTACATAGTGTACATCAGAGGCAGTGACCCTTTGAGAGCTGATTGCAACAAAATTTCACTTTAATGTTTGCCGATTAGTGTACATTCAAAGTGACTATAAAGTTATTATTCTATTCTGTTTCTATTCCTTTTCTTTCTCTTTCTTTCTTTCTTTCTTTCTTTCCCTGAAGATTTCTTTTTCTTTTTGTTGCATTCAGTTAATACAAGAATCCCTGACACAAAACGAAGCAGAGGGGCTGCTGGGAGCTCAGTCCTCCCGCTTAGAATTACACCGGCTGTAAACTCGCTGCAATCCCATCGTTCCTCAGTCTTGGGGGCTGGAAGCTGTGTGTCCTTCCACTCCCAGAATTCCCCAGCCATTCCCAGGATTCCCCAGCCGTTCCTTGGCTGCACAGCTCCAGCTGCAAGGTTGAGGAACACTGCCCTACACTGTGCCATAAAGCAAAATTAATCCTCCGTGCGAGGCATTCCCATCTCCACAGGGCCCCCTAACCTCCACCGGGACCCAGCACAGATTTTACGATCCACACCGTCTTCGTTCTGAAACAAAATCTAATTGTTTTGTGTTCTCATTTGTGACACGTTTATCAATACGGTCGGTTGTCGGGCCATGGATGAAGGCGAGGCGAGGCTTGACCAGGGCACGGCCCCTTCCCCTCACGGAGCACAGGAAACATGTAGGGAAGCTGGGAAGGCTGCAGATCAACAGGAAAAGCCAGCCGCCATCCATCGGGGCCAGGACGGAGCCAAGAACCAGCTTACTTGCAAGGGGAGAAGACAGAACGAAGACGAAGAATGGAAGAGGTAGATGCGAATTTGGGGAAGGGGTCCCATGGGAAAACCTCCGGTCCAGTTTGAGGGTTTCTGAGTCTCCATTAGAACTCCAGAAACCCCGGTGAAGCAGTCCTTTCCCACGTGAAGTGCTCTAATTTCCTGCTTTGGGGGCAGCTGGGATGGACTAGTTGATCTCTGAGGGACCCTGGCAACCACCCAGGGCTCGCCAGCTGCCAGGGGCATCACCAACACTCCCAGTTTCCTTGCCTGGCGAAGCTGCCCAGGCCTTGCGACGGGTCCCTACACAGAGGCCGGGCCTGGCATCCCAGCCGCATCCCCAGGAATGACCCTCCCCCGTCTGGAAGCCAGGAGTGGGGGGGATTCATCCTGCAGGGACAAACAAGTCATTGTTGCTGGGGAAAACACAGGAAAGTCTCCCCCCCCCAACAAAAATTCCTGGCTTCCGGTGTTTGATTGGGGAAAGCAACTCCGGGCTTCCTGCCCCATCCAAGGTGGGTCTGTAGCGCTCGGCCCAAGCGGAGGCCCGGGGGCCAAGCAGTGGCCAGGCGGCCTTTCAGGGGGGCTTGCAGGGGGCAAAAGAGGGGAGGGCTGCAGGGGAGACGGTCTAATCCAGCATTCCTCAACCGGGTCAGCTTTAAGACGGGCGGACTGCAACTCCCAGAATTCCCCAGCTGGCTTTAAGACAGGTGGACTGCAACTCCCAGAATTCCCTAGCCGGGTGGGACCCTCTGGATCTTGGGGGGCGGCTGACGCTCCCTCTTTCCCCGTGGGCTGCAGGGGGGTGGGACCCTCTGCATCTTGGGGGGCGGCTGACGCTCCCCCTTTCCCTTGGGCTGCAGGGGGGTGGGACCCTCTGCATCTTGGGGGGCGGTTAATGCTCCCCCTTTCCCTGTGGCTGCAGGGGGGTGGGACCCTCTGGATCTTGGGGGGCGGCTGACGCTCCCCCTTTCCCCATGGGCTGCAGGGGGAGCTGGGGCCCCCCAGCGGGGAAGGCCCCCAGGAGGAGCCCAGCGAGGAAGCCGCCCTGCAGTACGAGGAACGCATCACCCGCCTGATGGTCACGGTCGCCCGGCTGCAGGGAAAGTTGGAGCGGCTGCAGCGGGACAAGGCCAGGTCAGTCCCTGCAGACGGTGGGGGGGCACTCCTCCCTTCTCCCCCTCTGCACCCACCCCTCTTTAGCCCCACTTTCCTTGGGGGGGGTCCAAACGGCCCAAGGAACCCTCTCATGGGCTCCGGGGGGCAGGCGGCCCTGCGTGGACCTGGGATTGTGAGAACTCACCAGAAAAAGCAGATTATTTCGTATTATGGAGGACTCGGGCACCTCCGCAGTGAAATAATTTATCTAGCCCCAACGCCAGAGGAAAAACTAGTGCTGCTAGTCCTCACCGCCAGCCACAACTGAGCCCAAGATTTCTGTCGTTAAGCAAGACGTGCTGCCTCATTTTACGACCTTTCTCATCACCGTGGTTAAGTGAATCGCTGCTGTTGTTAAGTCATTAAGCGAACCCGGCTCCCCCCCGTTGGCTATTCTTGCCGGACGTTGGCTGGGAAGGGGGCAAATGGCCATCACAGGAGCCGGCAGGACGCTGCAACCGTCACAAGTACAAGCCAGTTGCCAAGTGCCTGACTTTTCCCGGGGAAAACCGGCCGTGAGTCCCTTTTTCAGCGCTGTCGTAATCCAGTCGCTAAGCAGAAGGTCATTGGTCCCGTGCACGATATCCGGGTGTCGCAGGGCAGTTTTGTGCCTGCCTTAAATCTTGGACAGGAGACCACCCGGAGATCCCAGGGCTGTCAAAAGACATCTCCAAGAAATGATGGTGGTGACGTGTCTGTGGCGTGCCCAGGAGGGCATTTCCTTTCCCACCCGCCCTCCCCCTCTGCCCCAGCCAAGCCCCCTCCCCAGGCCGAGCCCCTGCCCGGCCTCTTCACCCAGCCCCCGCCTTCCTCTTCTTGTGCTGCAGGGAGGAGGAGGGGTTTTTTTCCGATCTGGGCTCCGAGTCCAGCGCCAGCCTCCCCCGATGCCCGTCCCTCTTTGCCAGCCGGACCAGGAGCCCGTCCCCCCCGCCTCCAGCCGGTCCGGAAGAAGAAGGTAAGACCCTCCCGGCCTGATGGGGGGGGCTTGGATCTCGCTGGGCAAAGTGTGGGAAATCTCGAATCAGGAGCTGGGAAGAAAACGCCAGCCTTGCTACCGCCGCTGGGTGGCTCCTGACCGCTGGCTTCCTCTCCCGGCCGGCCACTTTGTTTTGGAAGGAGCCTCGGACCGGGGCTTTGGGTCAAACGGGTTCTCGTTGGGAATGGAAGCACTGGTCAGTCTGCAGAGGCCGCAGCCCAGCTGGTTTGGGCCAAGGAGGTCTGGCCAGTTGACCCCTTGGAGAGCACAAGGCCCCTGCCTCCTTTGGAGAGATCCCAGAACACTAGCCTTTGAAGGGACCCTGGAGGTCTTCTAGTCCATCCCCCAGATTGGTCTCACGTGTGTCCTTCTAAAGGGGTTCCCAGGAGCAGAGAACTCCCTCTGGGGAAGGGGATCCTTTGTCCTAGACCAGGGGTAGGCAACCTCGGCTCTTTTATGACTCATGGACTTCAACTCCCAGAATTCCCGAGTCAGCATAGCTGACTCGGGAATTCTGGGAGTTGAAGTCCATGAGTCATAAAAGAGCCGAGGTTGCCTACCCCTGTCCTAGACCCATCAGGCCTCCCCATCCCTCCTTCTGGTCCGCAGGCCTGGTTCAATCCACCCCCATCCCCAGGGGTTGACCCCTCTGGACTCCACTGACCTGGACTGGGGAATTCCAGGTGCTCCACAGAGATCGGGAAAGCCCTGGTGTTTTTGTCTCCCAGAAAAGGCTGACCTCTTCCTCGACGTTGACAAGGCGGTCACCTCTCTGGAGAACGTCCTCCTGTCGTACCGGAATCGCCTTCCCAGCGTGGAAGCCGAGCTGCAGGGATATGCCCAGCTGGCCCAGGTGAGCAGGGGAAGGGAGGGAGGGAGGGAGGGGGACGAGCAGCTGAACCCCCCCCCAACACACACCTGGACGTCCTGCCTCCGGACGTTGTGGCTGCTCCAGCTCTGTAGGCTTTGAAAAAGAGCCTGGACAGCCCCTTGTCTGAAATGGCATAGGGTCTCCTGCTTGGGCATGGGGTTGGACTAGATGACCTCCAAGGTCCCTTCAAGGTCTGGTATTCTGTATTTCCTGCCAGGGAGTAGCCAGGAGTTGGGTTGTGTGTCTTCTTGCCCACTTTTCAACAAGTAAAATTTCCACCCGAGTTTAACAGAATTCTTAACAGAAATAAATAAACGAATTGAACAGAAACATTCTGCTAAGAGGATGTTTGCACATCTGCAGCAGGGGGCTAGTCCTGACTGCCGGTGGCCTTGGGGAGGGGGGCTCCAGGGTGGGGGCAGAGGGGTTTCCCCTCAAAGGAGGGGCTCCGGGAGACGTTCTGCCAAGGCCGGCTGGTGGCAAACGTGCCCCCCCCCCCCGGTTGGTCATCTTCTGCCAGGGTCTGGAAGCCAGGCTGGTGGAGCTGCAGAAGGGGAGCTGGGGGTCCCCCCACCAGGAGGCTGGGGACCCCCCCTGCGAGAGGATGCTTGCTCTCTACAGGGAGAGGAACGGCTCCCTCCGTGCTGAGCTGGAGGCCAAGCAGGAGCTCCTGAGCCGGTCCCAGGCCTCCATCACAGCCTCCCAGCAGGAGCGGGAAAAGCTCCAGAGGAAGGTAGGGGGCACGGGGGGGGCGGTTTGGGGGGCTGGCAAGGGGCGACTCTCGCTGTGCGGTTGAGGGAAGAACCACCAGCCCCCTTGCCAGATGCTCAGATCAGGGCCAGTTGTGGGGGGAGGCCCAGGACAGCCCAGAGGGTCAGCAAAGCCCCGCCCCTTCTGACGGGCATCACCCCCCCCCGCTCACATCTGGATCCCCCTTTGGCCTGCAGGGTGGCCCCATTCCAGCTGTGCTTCCTTGGCTGTTTGCTCTCCTGGGAAGTAACTGCCGTGCCGCCCAGCCGGCGGGTCAGCCCAGAGTTTGCCCCCTTTGTTAAGGGGGTCCTCTGGCACCCCATGGAAAGCCCCACCCGGAGGGGGCGGCCGCCCTTTGGGGCGCTGAGATTCGCCCCCCCCCCCCAGTTAGTTCACCAGGCCCTTCGGGAGCCCTGCGCTGCTGCTGCCCACCAGATCCAGCAGGGGGAGCCAGAGGTCCTGGTAGCCCCATCCTGGTAGCCCTGCGTAAGGCCCTGGGGGGGGGGGCAGGGGTGTAGCTTAGCCTGGGGGGAGGGAGGAGGGGGGAAAGAAACGGGGCAAGGAAATAAGGAAGCAAAGAAGAGAAGAGAAGAGGGAAGGAAGGAAGAAAGGAAGGAAGAAGGGGGAGGAAGGAAGGAGAGAAGGGAAGGAGGGAAGGAGGAAGCAAGGAAGGAAGAGAAGGGAAGGAAGGAGTGAGGGAGGAAGGGAAGGGAGGAAGGGAGGGAGGAGGGAGGGACAGAGGAAGGGAAGGAAGGAAGGAAGCAGAGAAGGGTAGGAGGAGGAAGGAAAGAAGGAAGGGAGGGAAGAAGGGAAAGGGAAGGGAGAGGGAGGAGGAGGGAGGAAGGAAGGAAGGAAGGAAGGAAGGAAGGTGAGAAGAGTAGGAGGAGGAAGGAAAGAAGGAAGGGAGGGAGGGAGGAGGACGGAGGAAGGAAGGAGAGAAGGGTAGAAGGAGGAAGGAAAGAAGGAAGGGAGAGGGAGGAGGAGGGAGGAAGGAAGGAAGGAAGGTGAGAAGAGTAGGAGGAAGGAAAGAAGGAAGGGAGGGAAGAAGGGAAAGGGAAGGGAGAGAGGGAGGGAGGAAGGAAGGAAGGAAGGAAGGAAGGGAGGGAGGGAGGGAGGGAGGAAGGGGGCAGCAACTGAGAAGCCCCCCTCTGTGGCTCCTGCATGGGGCTCCCCTGTGGGGAAGGGTCTTTCTTCTTTGTCCATCCTTTCATGAGCAATCAAAACTTAAGGGGGACAGCAACCCCTCCAACAGCCCCCTCCCAGATACTAGAGTCATGCAGTTCCTGATCCTGCTCTTTCCCACTTTTGGGGTCTGTGGGGAATTGCTCGGAGGGGGGGGGGAATCTGAAAGGGTCCCGGGTTTGAGTGACCCCCCCCTTGCCCCCCTCTCTCCGTCCAGGTGCAAGAGCTGCAGGGGAGCCTGTCCAGGCTGGAGACCTGCTCCGGAGGAGCCCCCAGCCCCCTCGGGGAAGGGGTCCAGGTGCTGCAAGGGAGCCCCCTTCAGGCGCGGGCAGGGGAGGGGGGGCTCAGCACCCAGATCCAAAGGGAGGGGGCTTCTCCCCTATTGTTTTTCTGCTCACCTTTGGGATGGTTTGGGATGGTTTGGCATGATTTAGGTCAGTGTTTCTCAACCTGGACCATTTTAAGGCATGTGGACTTCAACTCCCAGAATTCCACAGCCAGCGTTGCTGGCTGTGGAATTCTGGGAGTTGAAGTCCACATGCCTTAAAATGGTCAAGGTTGAGAAACACTGTTTTAGGTTGAAAGCAGATCCTTGGCCCTGTGTGTGTGTGTGTGTGTGTGTGTGTGTGTGTTGTTGCTGTGCTCTTGACGTGCCCCTTGCAGGATCCCTGGGGGGCTGCTCAGAATGGCCTCCACCCTCCATGGGGGGCCACCAGCGCCCATCCCGCCCAGACCCTGCCGGCCTCCCTCTCTGCAGAGATCCAGCCCAGCCTGGAGCATCTCCACAGGTAGGGGTCCCTGACACCCCCCCCCCTCCTTCGCCTGCTCTTGGGGGGGCAGTTGAAATGGGGGGGATTGCCTAGCACGCGGAGGGTTCAAGGCCCTACCCCGATCTCGGTAAGACTCCCAGCCAGGGGTCCCGTGCATGGAGACCCTGCTTGGTGGATTTGTCCCAGGGAGGGGGCTGCAACAGTGCCCCGTGCCCCCCACCCATCGGGCCAGGGAGTTGGAAGCAGATTTGAAGGATGACCTCAGGGGCAGAGGGCCCCTGTGGGGGTGTTGGGGGGGCAAGCCTCTGTTTTGGCCCCTGCCCTTCTCTGGAAGGGGGGGCTTCTTGGGGAAGGGGGGGGCTTCCTCACTCCCTCTAAGCACTTGCGGTGCCTCATCTCAGGGGGGCTTTGAGGACCCACCCAGTCGCCTGCGGTTTGCTTTACGGAGCCCGATTAGGGCCATTGATTCAATCAGCGGGCTTGGAACACCTGGGTTACAACCCGTAGTACAAGCTCCCCGTGCCCCCCCCGCCCAGGTCCGTGGAGGGGCTGCAGGGGCTGCACCGGCTGCTCTCAGGGGCCCTGCAGGAGTCCAAGACGGATGCGGAGCGCCTCAGCCTGCTGCTCGGATGCCAGGAGTCCCGCCAGACTGCCCTGGCCCTGGCCGTCCGGGGCAGGTGAGTCCGCCGAGGGGGCAAACCTCCCCCCACTCAGTTTGGGGCCCAGTTGGGGGCTGCCTCCATTTTCCCTCTTGGGGGGCAGGGTCTCTGGGAGGGGGGCCACCACCGTAAATAAATAAATAGCCCTGCAGAAAGAAGGGGTCTCCGGGGAGCCAGGAAAAACAGGGGGCGGAAGAAGGGGGGCTTCTCACCCCTCTGGCTGCCTTCAGCTGAGCTGCAGAGAGAGTCTCCCCTGGGCAATGTGGGGTGAATTTGGGGGCTGGTGATTGGCAGGCGGGGCCTGGTCTGGGGCAGAGGCTAATACTCCCCATCTAGCCTGCCTGTCCTACCTCGCAGGGCTGCTAGGAGGGAAGAGCAGGGACTGTCGGAGACCCCTCCCCTTGATCCAATGGGGGGGTGGGGGCAGCATCCAGAAGGCTGTCTCCTGGGGGGGGGTCTCTGGGTCTGACTGGTGTGGGCCCTGTTCCCCCCTCCCCTCTTGACCCTCCCTCCCAGCGAACGCTGCCTGGAGGCCTACGAGACCCTCTTGGCGCTGACGGCCAGGGAGCAGAACCGGGGGAGCCCAGAGGCGGGAGCAGAGGCACCCTGGGCAGGTGAGACCCCGGGAAGTGGGGGGCTGTCTCTCTCTCTCCCCCCTCAGAGGCCCTCCAGCCTCTTCCTCCCCCCCACCCCAAAGGCCGCAAAGGGAGAGGAAGCCATTTTGGGGCAGGGCACGGTGGGACCCACTGAAGCTCTGCCTGCTTTCTGCGCACACCAGATGGTCTGTGGGAGGGGGCTGCGACAACAAATAAATAAATAGTGATGCAGAAGGAAGGGTCTCCAGAGACCCAGGAAAAAGGGGGGGGTCGAAAAAACAGGTTTCAGCCGCTGAGTACTGAGGGGGGGATCATTTTTGACCACACCATGCCCCGTATCCTTGGGGGCCGCGGACAGCAGTCCAAGCCCTGCATTGGAAGACTGAAACAATAACACACACCCCACCCAACATGCCTGCAATTCTCTTGCTTTCTTTTACAGATGTTTAAACAACTGTCACACACACACTCTCTCTCTCTCTCTTGGGGGACAAGTCTCCCCCCCCACTGTGGCTGAGGTGGCTGGTTAGGGGTTAAAAGAGCAAGGACCCAAAGTGAAAGGTGTGGGGAGAGGAAAAGGTTGTAATGTGGGGGTCAGGTCTTAAATGAATTTCACCTAGGAGGCTTGGAAGTCACACACACACACACACACACACACACACACACACACACACACAGGGCGAAGGCACGACACACAGTCCTCCCTCTATGGGGTGCTCAGCCATCCAGGTCAGGGTGGCTGCAAAGGTGCTTTCTCAAAAGGCAGCTGGACTTTTTTTTTTGGTTTTCCTTGAAGAGGTTTCGCTCCTCATCCGAGGAGCTTCTTCAGTTCCGCCTGAAGGGTGGAGAATGGAAGGGTTTAGATTCCTTGCAGTCCTCTGGTGGCTAGCCCTCTCTCAGAGCGGTTGAGGACACTCGGATAATAATAATAATAATAATAATAATAATAATAATAATAATAATAATAATAATAATAATAGTAGTAGTAGTAGTAGTAGTAGTAGTAGTAGTAATAGTAAGTAGTAGTAGTAGTAAAGTTGGAAGGGACATTGGAGGTCATCTAGTCCAACCCCCTGCTCAGGCAGGAAACCCTATACCAGTGATGGCGAACCTTTTAGAGATCAAGTGTCCAAACTGCAACCCAAAACCCACTTATGCATCAAGTGCCGGGTGGGCGTGGCCCATTGGGTGGGCGTGGCTGCGGTGGTAACGGCAGACCGGGTGGGACTAAAAAGTTCAATCAATCAATTCCAACTTTGCAGGATCTTTTTTTTTCCCGTGTAAAGTTGAAATTGACTGAACTTTTTTTTTTTTTTTTTTTTTTTGCACACGCTGGTGGAGGCCTAAAGCGAAAAGGTTTTATAAAACCCAGATGAAGGCCTAGGACTGGGGCGACGGTGCGCGTGTCCACAGAGAGGGCTCTGAGTGCCGCCTCTGGCACCTGTGCCATAGGTTCGCCACCACTGCCCTAAACCATTTCGGACAAATGGTTGTCCAGTCTCTTCTTAAAAACTTCCAGTGTTGGAGCATTCACCGCTTCTGGAGGCAGGTGGTTCCACTGGCTAATTGTTCTCACTGTCAGGAAGTTTCTCCTTAGTTCTAGGTTGCTTCTCTCCTTGATTAGTTTCCACCCGTTGCTTCTTGTCCTGCCTTCAGGCGCTTTGGAGAATAGCTTGACTCCCTCTTCTTTGGGGCAGCCCCTGAGATACTGGAATGCTGCTATCATGTCCCCCTCGTCCTTCTCTTCGTTAAACTAGACATACCCAATTCCAGCAGCCTTTCCTTATATGCTTTAGCCTCCAAGCAGCCTTAATGACTCTCAGAGAGAGCGCCAGCGACCGGATGATGGCAAGGAATATAAATCCTTCCATTCAGGCAGAACCGATGAAGCTTCTCGGACGGGGAGCGAAACCTCTTCAAGGAAAAACCACTTGGCTTTTGAAAAAAAAGCACCTTTGGACAATCCTCCGTTGCCTCCAGATGCCCTGGGCTTCCTGTGAAGGCCGCAGCCCAGCTGGAGCTGTGAGGGCCAGGCTGGGGGGGGGCAGGGCACAAGTGGGCTGGCAGCCTGGCACCCCCTTTTCCGACCCACACATTTCATTGAACGGCACAAGCTTTCATCAATCGTTTTATTTATTTCATTCGTTTAAAATTATTCACCCATCACCTTATTTTCTTTACGTTTGCTGTTGGGATTGAATAATTAAGTGGAAAAGCTCGGGGTTCAAGGTGCTTCATTGCTGGAAGCTTCCGAAATAGACCAGGCTGGGATTGGACTGGGATGGCGTAAGGCTCCTGCCTTGAGCAAGGGTTGGACTAGATGACCTCTGAGGTCCCTTCCAGCCTTAGGATTCTCTATGGTATCTCCCTCCCTGCATTTCCTGGTAGGGGCATCCGAGGACCCCAATCCTGCCCTGGAGAAAGCTGTCCGGATTTTGCAAGCCTGCAGCCTCCCCCACGAGAGCCCCTGGGACAGGTACTGGGGAGGGGGCTGGGGGGGGTTGGGGAGGGGTCATCACAGGAGGGAGGGCAGAGGGTGAGCCAGGAGGAAGGCCCAGCGGGGGAGGGGGCTCCCTTTGCGTCCAAACCTCCTCAGAAAGAATCCAGTTAGTCTGAAGAGATGGAATTCTGGGAGTTGCAGTCCTCCCCCCCATCTTAAAGCCGGCTGGGGAATTCTGGGAGTTGCAGTCCCCCCGTCTTAAAGCCATCCAAGGCTGGACCCTCCTGATTTCAGGGGTGTCTATGGGAGACTGCGATCCGCTGTCCAGAACCCGCTTCCCTTTCAGCGACCGGCGACCGGCCAGCCCACAGGCCAAGCAGCGGCTGTGGGCGTGCATCGGGCACCTGCGGGCCGAGCAGAGGTCGCTGAAGCTGCCCACCCCCCCACCCCCTCCGGGCCTGGCCTCCATGGCTGCCAGGCTCAGCGCGGGCATCGCGGCCAGAGTGGCCGAGGGCCGGAGGGCCCTGCAGGAGGCGCTTCCTGGCCCGGCCCCCCCGCCCAGGATGGAGAAGGCCCGGCTGCTGCGGGAGCTGCACAACGGCCGGGTGAGCAGGCAAGGGAGGGACGGGGGGGGGGAGGCTTTCCCGTCTTTGGGGGGGGGGAGAAAGATCGGCAGCAGCCTTGGGTTCCTGAGCAAGGGAGAGCTGCAGGAAAAGGTTGCCGCGCGGAGCGCTCCCGCCGGCCAGCCCAAGAGGGACCTTTTCCCGTCCGTCTCCATTCCGTGCAGGTTTCGCTTCACCGTCTCATCTGTTTTCTTGGGGTTCCCACAACACCCCCACACCCTTTTATTTTATACCTCTGCAAAACCCGGCTGGCCAATTGCTCTCTGTCTCTGTACCCAGGCAGTCCTCCACTTACGACCTCCTCCGAGCCGAGACTTTACGTTGCTGAGTGAGACTTTCATCAAATGAGTTTTGCCCCTTTTTACGACTTCTGTCGCCACGGTTGTTGAGCAAAACACCGCAGTTGCGCACTCGGTAACGTGCTTGTCAAGTGGACCTGGCTTCCCCTTGGACTTTGCCTGTCCGCCACCTGCCCAGCCAGCTTCTGACGAGCAGAATCCGTAGGGAAGCTGGATTCGCTTAACGGCCACGTGATTCACTTAACGACCCTGGCAAAAAAGGTCATTAAATTGGACACGACTCACTTAACAACCGCTTGCTCAGCAACGGAAATACTCCTCCCGGTGGCAGTCATAAGTCTGAATCGTCTCTGTCTGCCTTCTTGGGTTCTCTGCTCTCCCAAACAGCTGGTGGGTCTTCAAGGGGGGGGTCTGCAACTGAGCCGAAGGGGCCCCGTCTGGGGGGGCAGAGAACGGCTCCTGTCCTCCCTGCTTGTGCCCCCCAAACACCTGGGGGGGCTGCCTCTGGGCCCCCTTCTCCCCCTCCACCCTCCGTCTCCCTCTGCCGCCTCCAGGAGACTCTGGCTGATCTGGGCACTCGGCTGCTCCTGACGGCCAAAGCCAAGCAGGGCCTGGTGCTCTGGACCCACACGCTGCCCGCCCAGGAGGCTGCCTGCCTGCTGGTCATCCGGACCCTCCAGCGGGAGCACCGGGCCCTCCGGGGACAGCCAGCCCCCTCCCTGGGAAGCAGCAGCAGCAGCAGTGAGGAGGACTCCGGGGTAAGAGCCCCCCCAACTACTCTGTGCCCCTCCTGGACCCCCGGGGAGCCCCCCTCCGGGATGCCGGGAGGCTCCCCTTCCCAGAACGGACCCCTGCTGCCCAACCGCCTGGACGCCAGGAAGCGTCGAGGGCTGCCCTGGACCCCGTCCCACCTGCGGGTGCCCCGTTTCGTTTCCAGAAGAGACGGGTGTGTTGGGAAGGGTCTCCACTTCCGTGGAGGAAGGAGACCCACCGCCCGCGATTGGCCTAGCCTGGTCAAGGGCTGGTCAAGCAAAGAGGCAGACCAGGGGGTGGCCACGGGTAGGGTTAGGGTTGCAGCATCCGAGGGGCTGCCCCAGAGAGGAGGGAGGGGGTCCCACCTGTTCTTCGAGGTATCTGAAGACAGGACAGGAAGTGAAGCTCATGGAAACGCATCAGGGAGAGATCCGGCGTAGAACCCAGGGGGAATTTCCTGACAGTGAGGAAAAAAAATCGGAAAAATTAATTGATGGCCTCCGGAGGTTGTGGGTGATCCGTCCCTGGAGGTTTTTAAGAAGAGACGGGACAGCCGCTTGTCTGAAATAGCAACAGCAGAAGCCCTTAGACCAGGGGTGGGCAACCTCGGCTCTTTTAGGACTGGTGGACTTCAACTCCCAGAATTCCTGAGCCAGCCATGCTGAGGGGAAAGGGAGAGGTTTCCAAGCTGAGCCAGGCTGGCTCAGGAATTCTGGGAGTTGAAGTCTGCTAGTCATGAAGGGGCCAAAGTTCCCCCATGCTGGCTCAGGAATTCTGGGAGTTGAAGTCTGCTAGTCATGAAAGGGGCCATAGTTCCCCCATGCTGGCTCAGGAATTCTGGGAGTTGAAGTCCACGAGTCCTAGAAGAGCCAAGGTTGCCTACCCCTGCCTTAGACTTATATACCGCTTCACAGTGTTTTTACAGCCCTCTCTAAACGATTTATGGGGTCAGCCTATTTGCCCCCAACAGCCTGGGTCCTCCTTTTTCCGACCTCGGAAGGACGGAAGGCTGAGTCGACCTTGAGCCAATGAGGATCAAACTGCTGGCAGTGAGCAGAATCAGCTTGCAATCCTGCATTCTAACCACAGCGCCACCAGGGCTCGTACAAGAGGGAGGAAGGAAGGAAGGAAGGAAGGAAGGAAGGAAGGAAGGAAGGAAGGAAGGAAGGAAGGAAGGAAGGAAAAGAAAGAAAGAAAGAAAGAAAGAAAGAAAGAAAGAAAGAAAGAAAGAAAGAAAGAAAGAAAGAAAGGAAGGAAGGAAGAGGAAGGAAAGAAAGGAAGGAAGAAAGAAAAAGGAAGGAAGGAAGGGAAAGAAAGAGAAAGGAAGGAAAGGAAGGAAGGAAGGAAGGAAGGAAGGAAAGAAGGAAGGAAGGAAGGAAGGAAGAAAAAGGAAGGAAAGGAAAGAAGAGGGAGAGAAAAAGATGGGACATAAAGAAAAGGAGGGAGCAGGAAAGAAAGAAAAAAGAGAAAAAGGTGTAGAGGGAAGGAAAGAAAAAAGGTAGAAAGGAAAGGGTGCGAAGAAAGGAGAGAGGAAAGAAGGGAAGGAGGGAGAAGGTGAGGATAGCAATAGCAATAAGACTTATATACCGCTTTGCAGAGCTTTACAGCCCCCTCTAAGCGGTTTACAGAGTCCGCATATTGTCCCCCCCCCCAACAATCTGGCTCCTCCTTTTACCAACCTTGGAAGGCTGAGCCAGCCTTGATCTGGTGAGAATCGAACCGTTGGCAGCAGGCAGAGCCAGCCTGCAATGCCACCTTCTCACCACTGCGCCACCAGGGCTCCCTTAAGGTGACGCCTGCCTTAAGGATGACAACCAGCACCTTGAATTGGACAGCCAGGAGACCCGGGTGCAAATCTAGCCTTGCCCAAACCTTGCAGTGCTGGATGGCTACTGGATACTTTTCAAGGGCAGCCCAAGTGCAGCGCATTGCAGCAGTCGAGACAGGGGAGGACAAGGGTGGGGTGACACAGAGAGAGAGACACACCGCATGCTTCCGGCTTGAGCCAGGGGGCCTGTGCCTGGCCAGGCATTCACCTGTTTTCTCCTCCACCAACACGCAGGCAGCTGCGCCCGATGGCCTCCCCAGGGACCCGGAGAGGAGCCTGGCCCGGATGGAGCCGGAGGCCCTGAGGCTCCGATGCCGGGAGACTTCGGATCGGTGAGGCTCCCTTTGCTGTGGGACGGGTGGCGAACCAGTTGAAGAAGCAAAATAAATAAGAGGAGCTGGCACTCGGAGGCTCGGATGCCACACACCGGCTCTGCTCCCCTGGCATCACGGGGGGAGGGCTCCGGGAAGAAAAGGAAGGGGGGGAAATTCCCTGGGGGGGGTGGGAGGAATGTCATTAGTTGTGAGAGAAGGGAGTGCCATGCTCCCCCCACCCACAGAAGGGGGTGAGACCCCCTCCACCCAGCAGGAATGCAGTGGACGTTCTCCACTGCCTTTGTGGGCAGAGCTGTTCTGTGCCTCCCCAACTGGGCTGGAAAGACCCCTCCCTGCTGCCACCTCCATCCCCTGACGTCCAGCAGTGGGGAGGTCAGGAGGAGAAGGGGGGGTCCCTCCTGGTGGCTGGGCCCCTCTCTTTGGGGGGTTTTATTGAACCGTGGGGAAAAAAAAACCAGGGATCTGAAGTGTAAAATGCAAAACGCTGAGCGTGGAATTTAGAAGAAAAAAAAACTCTGAAATTGGCAGCCTTCTTCTGCACGTTGAGTATTAAAGTCCGAGTAAACCGAGGGGATAAAATCATATCCAGCCCCACCAATGCCGGCTTCCTTCTGGGGGGGGGGGAGAGAGAGAGAGAGAGGGAGGGAGGGTCCACACACACGGTGACATGGCCTGCCTGGCGATTAGCATCACAATCTGAGCGGCTGTGCCGGAAATCTTCGGCTGGGCGTATCAGAATGAAATCTCTCCATTTCTATCTCGGTTTCTGGAGATTGAAAATATTAAATCTTCATTCTGCAGCCAGTGATCAGTCTAGAGGTAACCCTTGACTCACAACCACAACTCAGGAAAGAATTTCCATTTTCTAAACGAGGCACCGGGTTGAGTGATCCGCGCCCGATTTTGCAAACTTTTATTTTTTATTTTTTTGGCACGGCGATTAAAGGGATTGCTGCGATTGTTAAGTGAATCATGAAGTGGCTAAGCAAATCCGGCTTCCCCCATTTTTTTTTTAAAAAAAAATAATAATTCCAACTGACTAATTGCTTAATTAATTCCAATTAGCCAGTGGAACAGACATTGCCTTCGGAAGTGGTGGGTGCTTTATCTCTGGAGATTTTTAAGAGATTGGACAGCCCTTTGTCTGGAATGGTGTAGGTTCTCCTGCATGAGCAGGGGGTTGGACTAGATGACCTCCCAGGTCCCTTCCAGCTCTGTTGTTCTGTTATTTTATAATCCCAGATCAATTAATCAGTGGAACAGAGGTTTCCTCCAGAAATGGTGGGTGCTTCATCGCTGGAGGTTTTTAAGAAGAGATTGGACAACCCTTTGTCTGAAATGGGCATAAAGTCTCCTGCTTGGGCAGGGGGGGCTGGATTAGATGACCTCCAAGGTCCCTTCCAGCTCTGTTCTGATTCATTTGGACTGTGCTTGTCAGCGAGAAGGTTGCAGACGGTGATTATAGCACCCAGAAACTTCGCAGCCATCACGAATACATGCCGGATCTTAAGTGAAAGGACACGTTTTTCCAGTTGTAGCTTTGAACCATCACTAAACAAAGGGTTGTAAGTCAAGGACCTGTAAAAGTGTCTCCTTCTGCCTTTTTCTTTTTTTTTCATTCTATGAAAAGAGAGCTTGGTTTGTCCACATCAAACTCCTCCAGCACCCCCCCCCCCGCAGCCTTCCAGAGTTTTCTCACAGCGGCCTCAAGTGAACCCATGTTTGCAAGCCACTTATACCTGCCAGGACGGCACAGCTTGTACAATCCGATGCACAATCCATTTGAAAAACAAAACAAAACGAGAAAGGCAAACTTCTGCTGGAAAATCCTGAGATTCCGGTTTGAAGAGGCAGCCCAGCTTCAGCGAGGGGAAAGAAGGGAAGGTCAGGGCTGACGCAGAGACCCCGGGCCTTTAGATTGGATTTAGCAAAATAGCATTATTGTTGTTGTTGTTGTTGTTACTATTATTTTGCCTGTAAGCAAAAACTGGTGGGCTCATAAAATAGAGAAAGTCATAGAAAATGATAAAGTTAAACTGCTCTGGGACTTCAGAATTCAAACAGACAAGCACCTGCCACATAACACCCCAGACTTAACAATTGTCGATAAGAAAGACAAAAAAGTCTGGATAGTGGACGTGGCAGTGCCTGGAGACAGCAGAATAGACGAGAAAGAACTGGAGAAGATCACAAAATACAAAGACCTACAAATAGAAATAGAAAGACTGTGGCAAAAGCAAGCAAGGGTAGTACCAATAGTCATAGGCTCCTTGGGTGCAATCCCAAAACAACTGGAGCACCACTTGGACACCATCATCGACATTGACAAATTCGCTATTAGTCAATTGCAAAAGGCGGCCTTACTAGGAACTGCTTCCATCCTGCGACGATACCTGTAATACCATCAAACATCCACATCTGCCTATCCCAGGTCCTGGGTAAGGACTCGATAGGTAGACAAAATGCCAAATCCAGTCTGAACATCTGGCTGACTGTGAGGATCCATAATAATTAATAATAATAATAATTAGTAATAATAATAATAATACAGGAGGAGGAGTTGGAAGGTACCTTGGAGGTCTTCTAGTCCAACCCCCTGCTCAGGCAGGAAACCCTGAACCAGGGGTCTGCAACCTTGACCGCTTTAAGACTTGTGGACTTCAGTTCCCAGAATTCCTCATTAAGCGAATCCCTGCAGTTGTTAAGTAACACGGTCGTTAAGTAAATCTGAGTTCCCCCATTGTCGGAAGTTGGCCAAAGGGACCACGTGACCCCCCCTGGGACACGGCGACCGTCATACACACGGTGTGCACACCGGCTGCCAGGCGTCCGAATTTTGGCCACGTGAGCGTGGGAATGGCTAACACGGTCCTAAGGATGAAAAATGGCCATCAGCCTTTTTTTCTTTCAATGTCATTGTCGTCATTAAATGAACGGTTGCAAGTCAAGGACTACCTGTATCCTGTAAAAAGGCTGGAGAAATGGGTCACGGGGGGGGGAGGAATGTGAGCCTTCTTTCTCCCCCCCCCCATCTTCAAACGGCTGGAAAGCTTGGCCCTCCTGGGAGAGCCGTCTTCCCTCTGGCGGCACTCCCCTGCCCATCGGTCCCTTCCAGCCAGCCTTCTGGGTGCCAATGAAAGCCAGGGGGCTGCTGATCCTGGGGTGGGGGACCCCTCCCCTTCTGTTCTACGGGGGGGGGCTTCCTTCTCACCTTCACCTCCTTTGGCTCCTGGCAGGATCCAGGCGCTGAAGGATCGTCTGCACGCTCTTTTGGTGGACTTGGAGGAGAAGAGCCAGGACTGCAGAGCCCATGAGGCACAGGAGATGGAGCTCATGCAGGAGTTTTTCCAAGCCCACAGGTAAGTGAGGGGAGGGGCTCCCCTTTCCCCCTGGTGGCCCCTCAGCCTCTGGACCCTCCAGGGGGGCCTTACGCCCTGAGAAACGTTCTCGGTCAACAGAGGAGGTGTGGGGTTAAGATTAAACCACCATGGACAGCAGCAGTCTACCAGCTACAACGTAGCATGGAGTGGCCAGGAGGGAAACAGAAGCCGGGCTGTCCCAACCTCCCACAGCTCCTTGACCCCCCCCCCAGCTGTGTTGGACTAAAACTCCCATCGCCCTCAACCAGCACATCTGGGGGACACCAAATCCAGGGAAGACCCATCCTGCTTTCTCTGGGTCCCACTGTCTTTCCCTGGGCAACGGGGTTCCCCGGCTGCTCTGGGTCCCCCTACTCAGTCCCCCTTTGCCCCTCTCTCGTTGCAGCGCCCTGCTCCTCGCCTACCAGAAGGCCCGTCACAAGCAGGAGAGCCAGGTGGGGCAGCTGGAGACCCAGGTGGGGCTGATGACCAGGCGCCAGGCCAAGCAGCGCCAGGCTCTCGCGCAAGCCCTCCAGCAGCTGCAGGACCGAGTGTCCGCAGGGGCGCCGACTGGCCTCCCACAGCCTCCCGCAGTGGACGAGAGATTCGTGGACCCGCCCGGGAATTTGGAAGTCCCCTCCTTTGTATGGAGCAGAAAGTGAGGCTTTCTGGACACACACAAACACACCTACAGACCAGCAAAGGGCGGGGGGCAGCAAGGCTCATTTCCCCCTGAAGACCCGTCAGCCTTGCCGGGTAGACCAGCCAGGAATCACAACCAGATGAGCTAAGCCTGGTAAAGCTACTTGCAGGTCTGGAAGTACGAGGCTCCCGCTGTCATTTTAATAGACTGAGAGTCCATGGAGATTTTCCATCACGCAGGTCATGGTCGTCCCATGTTGTATATTATATATTGTATTATGTTATGTTATGTTAATATTTAGAACATTTATATGGTCACCCAGCTCAAAACAATGGGATTCTAGACCAATGGTTCTCAACCTGTGGGTCGGGACCCCATTTGGGGTCGAACGACCATTTCACGGGGGTCGCCAAACAATGCAGTCCACCATTTTTTCCCTCTTTTCCTTAGCTGTGCTACTCCCTTTCATTCTATTGGCTTTTGAAAGCCAATAGAAGAGACTCTCTTGAATAGAGTCTAATTCTATTGGCTTTCAAAAGCCAATAGGAATTGTCCAGGCTGTCTCTGCCCTGCTGAGCCTGCCAAAAGTCCCATTCTGCAAACGGTGCTGCACCAGCTGAGTAGTCCTCGACTTACGACCGGTTGAGTAGTCCTCGACTTACGACTGGTTGGGGGTCGCGGCATTAAAAGGGTTGAGAACCACTGTTCTAGACAATGTACATAAATCTTTAAACAAAAATATATAAAAAAACCCTTAACATCAACCACTAAAGCCAACTAAAACAACAGCACTAAATAACATTAGGCCTAAAAGAGGTTTTTCAGCCCTGGGGAAGGCTGCCCTCCCTGACGCAAAGGCCGGGGAAGCAGCCCCGCCTAGACTGCCTCTCTAAAGGCCAGTGGCATCAGGGCCAGCCGCGACAAGGGGGGAGGCTGTTTCGAAGGGCAGGGGCCACCACCGGGACGGCAGCCTTCCAGGGTCCCGAAGGAGGAGGAGCCAGAGTAGCTGGGAAGAGGAGGAGACCGGAAGCCAACGCAGTTCCGGCATACGATTCTTTGGAGAGCTGAGTTCTGGCTGCGGAAAGCCTTTTTTACGCATTGCTTAAAGACGCTGAGAGCCTGGAAAGAGCGCAGAGAAGAGCAACAAAGATGATCAGGGGACTGGAGGCTAAAACATATAAGGAACGGTTGCTGGAATTGGGTATGTCTAGTTTAACGAAGAGAAGGACAAGGGGGGACAGGATAGCCGTGTTCCAATATCTCAGGGGCTGCCACAAAGAAGAAGGAGTCAAGCTATTCTCCAGAGCACCTGAAGGCAGGACAAGAAGCAACGGATGGAAACCAATCAAGGAGAGAAGCAACCTGGAACTAGGGAGAAATTTCATGACCTATTAAAACAATTAACCAGTGGAACAACCTGCCTCCAGAAGTTGTGGGTGCTTCATCATCGAGACTGGACAGCCCTTTTTCTGAAATGGTGTAGCGTTTTCTACCTGGGCAGGGGTTGGACTAGCCCAGTGGTTCTTAACCTTTTTGAACAATCGCCCCCTTGAGCCAATGAGGAAGTTGTCATCGCCCCCCTCCCACAACATCACCTCTCAATCACACCATAGGAAATAATTCTTCAATTTATGCAAACCCTTTTTTGGTTTTCTTTAAAATTGTCATCAGGACACATCGATGCAAATAGTTCATTTCCAGTCTTTTCCCCCTATCTCAACTGTCTGAGAAATTTTATTCCCAAACTTCGTGCTACATGCATTTCATGATGATCTTCTTTATTCAAGACCCTTCAATGTAATGACCTCTTTGAAAACAACATTCAATGGGAAGAAAGGGAAATGCCCGAAAAGAAAAACAGTAACATTTCATGATTGAACTACAAGTCAAATTTAAGACGCAAAAAAGAAATATAAAAAGGGTGTAAGAACAAACCGCAATGCAGGAGCTAAGAATGTCAAGACGCAAACTCTGAAACTCAATGAAGATTCGAGGAAAGTATATATAGTCACGCACACTGTGAAAAGGATTAAAAAGACACAAAGAAAATATAATATGGAACTGGAGTGCACGCTAAAAAAAAAATACAATACAAAATGTTTTACAGAGCCACTCAGCCTGCGATGTTTTGAAAGAAGCGCTCCCCCCTCTGTCAGATATACAGCGATTCACCGTACGAAAAAGTCTCAAAAGTGTCCCCAAAACCTCTCGCTCCATCGCCCCCATATCTCCCCCTTTTCGTTCCTTCGCCCCCCTGAAAAACAAAATCGCCCCTGGGGGGCGATATCGCCCAGGTTAAGAACCACTGGACTAGAAGACCTCCAAGGTCCCTTCCAACTCTGCTGTTCTGCTTTCCAGATTTCCAGGCTCTGGAGCACTTCTCCTCTGCCCCTTCCTCTTGTGCCGGGGGGGGGGGGCTTCAGGTGGCCTCCGCCGGGCTTACCGGTGCTCCCCACATCCCAATGGAGTCGGGCGCAGCCTTCCTAACTCAAGAGAGGGAATTAAAAGGCAGCAGCTTTGATTCACCTCCCTGCCTTGGAACAGGTGCCTCCAGACGCTGGTTCAGGGATCTCGTAGACAGCGGTCTCCCAAACTTGACAATTTTAAGGCATGTGGACTTCAACTCCCAGAATTCCACAGCCAGCAATGCTGGCTGTGGAATTCTGGGAGTTGAAGTCCACATGCCTTAAAATTGTCAAGTTTGGGAAACACTGTCGTAGACAGGGGTTTCCCAAATTGACTTCAATTCCCAGAATCCCCCATGGGGAAGTCCAAATCTCTTAAAGAGGCTAAGTTAAACCGAGGATCGGGGCCCAGGTGCCTCATCCCAGCTGCCCATCCATCATCCGTGATGTCCGAGGGGCCCAAATCTTGGGTCCTGCCTGGGTTCCTCCAGAGCTGTCCAGCCAGGCTAGATTCTGCTTCAAGGGTCCATGTTGTGTCCTTAGCAACACAATACAACAGAAGTGAGGGGGCTGTCTGGCTTCTGAGCTTGGGCTCCATCCTTGGGATTACCTGGTGGTGCCCCACCCGGCCTTCCATTTTTCTAAGGGCGGGTGGATTTTCCTTGCCCAGACGGTGGCTCTGACCAAAGGCAACACACCTGGGGGGCCCCCTGGAGGGCAGGGGCAGGTTTGGGGTTCAGGTGACTTTCCAGGCGCCGCCTCTGAGCCCCAGCAAGAGGCCAGGCCCTCCTTCTGCCCCAGATCCATGTTCCCCAGCCGTTTTCCAGGCTCCAGGGGGTCCCCTGCGGGCGGCCAAGGGGGTCTTCCCCAGCCAGGCTGCCTGTCCCTTCTTACAACCCTTTCCCCAGACTCTTCCAGTCCTAGCCTTCTATGGACTTCGGCTCCCAGAATTCCCCAGCCAACAAGAATGCTGGGAGTTGAAGTCCAGGCATCTCCCAGGGGCTGCCTGAGCCACAAGATTCAGGATTCCTGTGGGTGTCCCAGGCACCAGGTCACACACACACAAACACACACACACACACAAACACACACCTCTTTCGCCTTTTCTTTTCCTTTATGTCTAATCTCTGCTTGGAGATAGCCTGCTCCTGGACCTGGAGGCATCATTAATATTTATTATTGTTGTTGTTGTTGTTTCCTTTATGGTGTTTTATATCTGTGTAAGCCGCCTTGAGTCGCCATGTGCAAGCAGGCGGCAATGTCAATGTTCTAAAATAAATGGAAAATAACAAACAAACAAACAAATAAGGCCAGCATTAGAAGAGTTGGAAAAAACCTCATATAAGCTGAATAATAAGGACTCGTTGAGAAATGCACATTCTTAACACAGATGCAGAAGAATTTTTTTTTTTTTTTTAAAGACTTCATTTGAAAGGGGTCCTTCCTGGGAATGTGCCCTGGGAATGTGCCCTCCCCAGGGGGAGGAGGACTTTGGTTGGGAACTCGGCAAGGGCCAGGCTTCACAGCACATCCAGCTCCCCACCTCTGCTCTCCTCTTCCCCCCCCCCCAGCTCCATCCATTATCTACTGCAACTGCCCCCTCCCCTTATTCCTTTTTCCACCGCTGTCAGCAAGATCAAAGGTGAAGGCCAGAGGTTTGATAAATATTCCTCCTGGGCAACAGAGCCCTGGCCCCACGGAGAGGGGCAGTCTTGAACACCTGACCGCTGGGTCCCCATCAACCCAGAAGGTGGGAGTACTTGTGGGGTCTCTGCACCCCCTCGCTGGGCTCCCAAGTTTTTTGGGTTGTTGTTTTTTTTTTTTTGCAAAAGTTTTATTAGTTTCTAACATACGATGCAATGAAAATACAAAAGTAAATAGTGGAAAAGATAGGGAAGGAAAAAGGGAGTAGGCAGGGGTTCTCAACCTTGGCAACTTTAAGACTCGTGGACTTCAACTCCCAGAATTCCTCAGCCAGCTTTGCTGGCTAAGGAATTCTGGGAGTTGAAGTCCACAAGTCTTAAAGTTGCCAAGGTTGAGAACCCCTGTGTAAGGGAGGGGAAAAAAAAAAGGCATTGACTTCCAATTTCCTTTGGTGCAGTAAAAGAATATCAACACCAAACCTCAACTTTTTTACTTTTACAAAATAATATCAACTAGCCATTTCGATAACATCAAGTCTTATCTAATTGGTAAAACCCAAAATCAAAATTTCATTTTTTTTCCCACCTCCAGCACAAAATCCAGAAGCAGTTTCTACATAACAATAAAAGTAGTTGTGTCCTTTTTTTTTAATCAGTACGGTTCAACCAACTGGGCTCCCAAGTTGATTGATTTTTGCCTTAATGAAAGCAGCCCATCTGCACTCTAACCCCCCCCCCAAATGGAGGCTGCCTACCCTAGTCCAGGGGGCTGGCAGAGAAAGGGGGCTTTGCAGAGGACAGAAAGCTGCAAGGAGATTCAGCAAGAGGCAGGCCTAGAAAGGGGTTGCCTTGTTTTCCGAAATAAAATCATCCCGACAACTCAGTTGCATCACAACTCTGAAACTCGGCTTTTGCAACCTCTGTCTGTTGAGAAAGGCACGCAGTCTGTCCTCACTGGTGCCGGCTGCCGTTTATTTATTTATTTCTTAAAAAGAAAAATTAATGGAGGGCAGGTATGTACCTGGAGACTGAAGGAAGATGTTGCAAGACAAGGTTGCCGAGACTGGAAATAAAATGGTTTAAAGGGCCAGAGACACAACCTCTGTTGCATCAGACTAGACAAGTTGCCATCCAGCTGAAAATTACGATAGGCTCACCAATGATGGGGGTCCTTTTCATCTCCTGATCTGCACCTGAAAAGCTCAAGGCCGCCCCCCCTTCCTAGAATTAAAAAT